CCCGGGTCGCGCCGCCGCCGCTCGCGCTGCCGCCCCAGCGCAGAATAAACCTTCTGCTCGGACTTGTCGCGGATGCTGCACGTGTTGTACACCAGCACGGCCGCTTCATCCGGGTCCTCCGTCGCCTCGTACCCCATTGCTTCGAGCACACCCGCCATGCGCTCGCTGTCCGCCATGTTCATCTGGATCGCGGGAAGGGGAGGAGTGGGGAAGGGGGAGGGGGACGGGGAAGGGGGAGACGGCTCGCTTCACACCCCATTGCTTCGAGCACACCCGCCATGCGCTCGCTGTCCGCCATGTTCATCTGGCTTACGAGAACGCGGGGGAAGGGTGTGGGGAGGAAGGGGAAGGGGAAGGGAAAAAGGGAAACGGAAGACCAAGGGGAAGGGATAGATTACAGAAGAGATCCAAAAAAAAGCGAGAGAACTGGAAAGAGGGCAACGATTTCGCAGGGTTGAGGGTTCTGACAACGTTAGCAGATTCAGAGGGCCAAGCCGCCACGTTAGAGCACCCGAGATGAGATTTGCAAAAACAAAAAGGACGTCGTTATAGGGAATTCCACTAAATGGCCTCGTTTAAGGCATCCTGAGACCCGCTAATAGCTCCACCCCACCTGGCATCCGAAGGTGTGCACGTGGAACTTCTTTCCCTTCCTATCGCCGGCCTGGATGTCCGCGAGCGGTCGCACGAGCACTGTTCCGTCCTCGCCGCAAAAATCGGGCGACGTCGGATCCACTGTCGTGGCTATCTCCGTCGCAGGGGTCTTCGCAATGTTCGCATGCGCGACGAATTTCAAATTGCGAGAGGAACGAACAGCGGAGGGCGGGTTCTCGCCTACGCTTCGCGATGCTCGCTGGGTAACATTCCGGGCGAAATGCTTCGCCGGATCGGTTACGCAGAATGGATCGGCAACTCTGCCTGTAAAGCTGCTGGCTCGATTCGCGGCAAACTCGCTGCGAATGTTCCCAGCAGAGGCGAGGCTACTCGCGAGACGCAACGCAGACATGGCTTAACACCAAGGATAGTAGCGGCTGTACCTATGGCCTAATCCAAAGCAGGAAACTGAAGGCAAAAATGTGTTTGAGGCTATAGTAGCTAGATGATGGGTTCTCGTTAAAAACATCCTCAAAGTTGAAACGACAAAGTGCCACACTATAATTTTGAGCTCTAAAACATACCGTTAATGAGAGGATCTGCCATTCAAATTGACGATCATGACAAGGCGTCGAGTCAGTTGTCGTCAGAACCTTTTCCGCCACGCCTGCCATCCGTCAGCTGTAAAAAAAGCGGGTTTGCCTCAGCGATGCACCACCGTGACTAAGCGCCACGCATGAAAAGCGGACTTGGGTCGGATGGCTCCTGATGGCTCAGCAACCGCCACGAATGGCGCAGCGTTACACGTCAGGCTTGCGTGGTCGCCGTTCGTGGCATGTATGGTGGGGCCTTCTTGGCCTCCTCGGAACTCCTCCAGCTGTATACAGTAACTTCGGGCAGGTGAAGACATTTTCTTCAAAACCACCAGGTCGTGGTTTTAACTCTGCAACGCCTGTACACTGGCCTCGGCATTCTCCCCGCATGGTCATTTTGCTCCTCCAGATGGGAAATGCTGGGCAGCTTCTTTCGACGCCGAACAAACTGTCTCTCGATGGCTCCCTCGATTCCCTCTTTCCACCAGATCGGCGCGAGTGGTGCCCGCCCCGAGCTTGATCCGAACGCGCATCAACCTGAAAGCACCTCTCAGCCAAGGCAGCCATTGCTGACGACAACCCCAAACCCCAATCATCGTTCACCAGACACAGGACTTGTAGAAGAGGTAAAGATTCCAGACCCAGCCCTTAGCCTGCATTTTGCGACTGACTCGAATTACCTCTTATCTAAGCACAGTGCCCTGCCGTTAGTGCAAGCTTGACTTTCAACTTAGACGTCTACTTTCCAGCAGATATATTACCGTTATCTTTCACAGGATTGTATACTCCTTTGGCGTGCATTGACCAGCATTGTCTTCGCCAGAATAGGTCTCTTCGTTCATCAGCATCATATCTTCCCACGCAAACTCTCCTTTCACTGCCTCCTAGATTCTGTCCACCGAAAGATCGATTCTTTATCCAGCAAAGCATTGTTGGGACCCTGCTCCAAACGAGGGAATTAATATACTTAACAACGTTATAGCAGGAAGATTTAACTTTGTTTAGGATGCCCAATTCGGAAGGCTGCGACAGTCAGAGTTGCCACTCTGATGAGCTCGGGAAGGGTCATGGCGGCGTAGCCAACTCCCCCAATGTTTCCGCGGGAAGAAGCCTCGAAACAGACCACAGAGGCGATCACCATCCAGGGGAGACCGGCCAGGCTAGAGACCACAATGGCGACAATTCCCACGACGCCGACGTTAAGCAGAGGAACCAGCATCAGCACCAGCAGAATCAGCAACAGCAACATCACCAGCAGCAGCATCGGCAGCAGGATCACGGCGGGTCGCGAATGTCGCATCCGTTGTCGGACGAAGATCCAGGGGTGGTGGACGAGCGGAAGCAGAAGCGCATGCTGAGCAACCGGGAGTCGGCGCGGCGGTCGCGGCTAAAGAAGCAGCACCATCTAGACGAGATGCGCCAGCAGGTCCGACACGTCCCATTCTCGGTCAGGTTATCCATGCCTGCGGACAGTCTGCTTGGAATCTCCCGTCACGTTATTGGTTCTTAATTATCGCCTTGGTTACTGCTTCTTCCAGTCTCCCCACAACCCGAACCTTTCCGCGCAACAACCCGACTGTCACCCGCTTGCACTGCCTCATTGCCCGTCATTCCCGCCACCTCACCCCAAATCGCTTTCTTGCGCTGTATTCCCTCCGCGTCGCCTCTTTCCCGTTCCGCAGGTGGCGCAGCTGCGCGCGGAGAACAGCGAGATGTCGACGCGGTACAACATGGCGTCGCGGCACTACACGCAGCTTACCGAGGAGAACCGCGTGCTACGCTCGCACGCCATGGAGCTCAGTCGCCAGCTGCAGCGCCTGCACCACGCAGCCGCCGCGCATGGCCACCCCATGAACGCGCAACTCGGGCTCGGATCCAGCCTCGGATCGAGCCTCGGGTCCAGCCTTGGTGCTGGTCTAGGCCCATCACACATTGACCCCCTCGCGTTTTCTCTGGCGCCGCCCCTGGGTCCGCCGTTTTCGTCGCATCACATGGCTGGACGATCGCCCATGTCTATGTACCCCTACGCCATGCCCCCCTCGCCTGCGCCGGAAGTCTCGAGGTGATCAGGATTTTTTCTTAGTCAACCTTGGTTTTTCAAAGATGATGTGTGATTGAAGTTAGGTGTAGCTGGACTTTTCATGCTGTGCCGTTTTGCTGTATCGTACTTCCAGCACCAATTTTGCTGGTTATAAGGACAGCCTTCGCAATTGCAGCTGCCAGGTTTTGTATTTGATCTGGTTAGAGGGCCATTTTTGTAGTTCAGCTTGTCTGATTTGTTGTGACAGAAGAGACAGATAATGACATGAAAATCTGGAAGCTGCAGTTTTCCAGGTGTGAACAGTTCGCTGGTTGAAAGATTCAGCTCAGCCTTCTGATATATTAGAGAGGCTCAATGCATGCCAGCTTTGCATTACAAATCACCTCGATACATGTGTGCAGCCTTGACCTGAATAAAGACCACTACCACATAAATACCCCAAGGATCGAGAGAGCCATGCCATGGGATGGGAGCATACTGGTGCAGGCAGGGTTACAGAGGTGGCAGCAATAAGGGGTGGAGCTGCTACTCTGCCTGTTGACGGCAGTTGAGCTTTCATGAGGGGCTGGCTAGGCTAAGAGGCGGCTATCAGGTGGCTATGAAGTGGCCCAGAGTTGGCTAGGAGGCTGCTAAGATGCCTCTACGAGACTGCTATGACATGGCTATCAGATGGCCACAGAAGCGTATTACCTGATCAGCGCACCCGTGGAAGCTGGGAGTGCGGTGCTGAGGGGTGGAAGGCGGTGGCTGATACGGGTGGCTCAAATTGCCTCAACCGTACGGACGACAAAACCCATGGTTCCGGTGGGAGCAACACGGAGGCCATGAACGAAAAGGCCTGGTTAGAGTGTGGCGGCAGCAACAGGGAGGGAGGGCTACAGTGTGGCGGCGGTAACATTCATGGCCACGCTGGCGGATGAGCCGCACGGTGCAGCAGCGGGAGTCGTTGAGGGTGGACAGGCCGGCTGTGGAGGTCAGGTGTGTTGTGAAGGACAGGCGGGCTGCGAAGACAGGCGGGCTGCGAAGACAGGTGGGTTGTGGAGGCGTTGCTTTCAACAGCTCAATGGGCACATGCGGTCAAAGACATACACCAGGTTGAGGCAGCTAGAGCGTGGCAGCGGCATCATCCATGGCCTGGCGGATGCGCTGCACGGTGCAGCAGACGAGGGAGTTCCCAAGGTGGGTTGTGGACGGTGGACAGGTGGGCTGCGGCGGGAGGTGGGTTGTGGAGGCGTTGCTTTCATGAGCTCAGTGGGTACATGCGGTCGAAGACAACGGACCGGGTTAATGCAGCTAGAGCGTGGCGGCGGCGACGTCCATGGCCTGGCGGATGCGCTGCACGGTGCAGCAGATGAGGGAGTTCACCGTCGCCATGCTCTCCGTCGTCAGCTTCGCCTGCCACAACATGCCATGCCATGCCATGCCATGCCAGTGGTGTGGTAGTGTGGGGGTGGCCAGTGGGGTGTGGGATGGGTTGTGGTGGTGTGGGGGGTGCCAAGCAGTAATTAGTTGGGTTGTGGTACGGGGGTTTACCTCAGGACGAGCCACGTAAGCTTTGAGTCGACTCAAAACAGGACGAGCCACATAAGCGGTCACAAGAGTCAACTGGAAAAAGGAGGAGGGCCTGTGCTAGCACACTCGCTCTGAAATTCGATTTAAGCAACCGCGGAGATAACGGTAACGCAGAACAGAGAGCACAGCGCTGCGGTGTCAGCTTCACGCAAATACCCCAGCGCCCTCTCCCTCGCGGCACATTTGAGTCGACTCAAACGTCATACCTGCGGGTTAGGGCTGACGAGTATCTGGAACGAGACAGTGAGGATGGACCCTTCCGGCACGTGTCCCAATGCCCTCTTCCGCGCCGCACTCCGCATCGCCTGTGCCGCCAGACTATCCACCTCCCCGCCCTGCTGCCACCCCTCATCCGCCCCATACCCGCCGTTTGCCACCGCCCCCCCGGCAAATGCTGCCGAGGCGGCGCCGCCCGCGGTGGGCTGCACGGGGGCGGCGTGGAAGAGAGCTACGCGTTGGTCGGAGGAGAGGGCGCAGTCGGGGAGGAGGGAGAAGCCCGAGGGGAGCAGAGCGACCGAGTCGGAGGAGCCACCTGAGATGACCTCCTTCATTGCTGGTATGTCCACCGGCGCATATACTATGAGAGCTCCTGAGAGGAGGCAGAGAGAAGGAAGAGGGGGGGGGGGGGGCAAACATGAAAAGGGTGATCAACTGAGAATAACCCGAAAATCGAGTTGGGAGGTGGGTGACAGTGAGACAGTAACTGAGTAGCCAGTGACTGCTGCTACTGCTTGTGGTGGTGATTCTGCTGCTTCAACTGCTGCTGGCGCGACTGTTACAACTACTGCTGGTGTCGCTACTGCAGCTGTCGCGCGCGTGGACCAAGGCGCGCGCAGGATCACCTAAAAAGGGGACACACCTGAAAAGCACCTGATAAACACATGAGGATCACCTAAATTTACCGGAGAATCCACGTGGGCGCACCTGAGGGGTCGAAGGTGGTTTCTTGGAGGATGAGCATGTTGGTCTGTGCCCCTGGGCCTGCTGCCGCCTGCTGTTATAGGGCAGCGGGCGGGGCGGATGGACATGCAGATGGATGAGGGCGGAGGAGAGGAGAGAAAGGAGGGGGGGGGGGGAAGGGAGTAGAGGGAAAGCATGTGCAACCCTCCTGAACATTCCTGAAAACACCTGAGCAAACCTGAGTACAGCATTGTGCAGCTTGGGCTGAGCACTGACCTGCACTTTAAGCAGCGACACACAGTTGATGTGGTCCACACCTATGCTTCAACACACCTCAATGCAGCTCAGGACACCTGAACTCATCTGAGCATACCTGAATACACCTGGAAAAGGGGCCATGACTGACCTGCACTTTGAGCAGCGACACACAGTTGCCATGGTCCACGCCGATGGGTATTCGCCCCATCTCCGACACCACCGACCCACTTGTTAAGATGTCCCACTGCGCCGGCACAGGAGGGAGAAGGGGTGGGAGGGGTGGGAGGGGCAACAAGGGTGCGGTAGAGTAGAGTGCATGAAACACAAGGCCTTGCATCCCCGACACTGCTGACGTGACTTTTGAGTCGACTCAAAAGGGTGCGGTAGAGTGCATGAAACACAAGGCCTTGCATCTCCGACACCGCTGACCCGCTAATAGGATGTCCCACTGGGGAGGAACAGGAGGGAGAAGGTAAGAGGGAGGGAGGTAGCACGAGGGATGGGTTCGACCGCATGTAGCACAATAGCAGAGTCCGGAATCTGAGGATTCTGATATAAGGTGACTTTTGAGTCGACTCAAAAGGATCAGTGTATTCTGATATACAAAAAACGGTATGAATTACGTACAGAGTGACCGGGGAAGGACTCTGATGGAGGGCGAGCGCCATAAAAGCACATGTCCCTTCCATCACCCCCGCTTCGTCCCCTCCCCTCCCCTCCTCCCTCCCCTTACCTCACGCCTCGTCTGCTCGCTGCTTAGAAATTAAAACGCGAGAGGCATGGGCACGGGAAGCCACACAGAAGCAGCAGCATTGAGAATGACCCCCAGGGGCTCCCCCGCGCCCGTCACACTGCGTCTCATCGCTACCCACACCTCCACCGCCCCCATCGCTGCTGCTGCCGCTGCTGCTGCTAACGCCCCACTCCCTTCCCTCGCACCAACCATGCCCATTCCCTCCCCCTAATTCCTCCCTTACTCACCTCGCGCCGGGTCTGCTCGTTCCGTAGAAACTCAAACGCGAGAGGCATGGGCACGGGAAGCCACACAGAAGCAGCAGCATTGAGAATGACCCCCAGGGGCTCCCCCGCGCCCGTCACACTGCGTCTCATCGCTACCCACACCTCCACCGCCCCCATTGCTGCTGCTGCCGACGCCCCACCCGCGCCCCCCATGCCCTCCCCCTCCCCCCCTTCCCCCCTCCGCCTGCGGTGCTGGCGCCAGCGGGTGTGCCCCCACCCCCTGCTGCAGTACTAGCAGCAGAGGCGCGGTCAGAGTTGTCAATCACCTTCCAGGAATGCCTGAGGGGTGACATGGGAGGGTGACATGGGAGGGTGACATGAGAGGGTGAGAGATGAGATAAGGATGAGGAGGAAGGTCAGCGATCAGCGGCTGTGGCTCCCCCACTTGCTGGGGTTCTGGCAGCTGAGGCGCGATCTGAGTTGTCAAAAACCTTCCAGGAATGCCTGAGGGGTGACGCAGGTGAGGTGAGGGGTTGGGATGGACAAGTGACGTGAGAGGGCAACATGAGGGAATGACACGAGAGGTTGACATGAGGGGTTGAGATGAGAGATGATAGCAGTGTGACATCACAACAAGATGCGGGGGAAAGCAAGCATGTCCCAAAAGCTGCTACCTGGAGTGAAAATTACCAGGGCACACTCTACCTGGTGGAGGAGGAGAGGCCAACACAGAAGTTGGAGAGCATGCGGCCGGCCAGGCGCAGCATGGCACGGCGGCCCTGCTGCGACACGATGCCGCTGTCCCTCGACGTTGGGTTCCCCAGCAACTCTCCGAACCGCACGCACTGGTGGTGTAGGGCTGCCATCCACCTCGCTGCTCCGAAGCCCAATGCTGCTGCCACAATTGGTCTGGAAACGGAGGGAGAGGGAGCGGGAGCGGGAGAGGGAGAGGGAGAGGGAGAGGGAGAGGGAGAGGGAGAGGGAGAGGGAGAGGGAGAGGGAGAGGGAGAGGGAGAGGGAGAGGGAGAGGGAGAGGGAGAGGGAGAGGGAGAGGGAGGGGTTTGACATGGCAGGCAGGCAAGTGGGGTCCCAAAGCAGCGGAAGGGGGAGGGGAGGGAGGAGGAAGGAATGAGGGAGTCTGGTCTGGACAGGTTGTCTAGCAGGAAAGCTCACTTGAAGGAAACAACTTAGAGGGGCTGACTTTAGGAATTGACAGCAGCAGCAAGCACTTAATCCAAGGCCCACCTAAAGAGCGGTGGCACTCCCAAGACACACCTGAAGAGCGGCGGCACTCCCAAGGGGTCTGCCTCGACATGCTCCACCAGAGTCACCTGACTGCTGCCGTTGGGCGTCTCCTGATGGTGGTGATGATGGGGGGTAGAAGAAGAGACGACAAAGGAGAGAGGAGCGAATGGGGTCAGAAGTGAGAAGAAGAGAGGAGAGAAAAAGGGAGGTGGAAAAAGGGTTGCTCTCCCTCGTCCAGCAGCATGTGGGTGGGTGCACTACACGTCACCGGAAATTCCCTCTCAACGCACCTGGATGAGGATGCCTGACGGGCGCCGTCGGCACTTGAGCATGACAGGAGGGGGCTCGCTCCTGAGGCGGTCCACAGACACGTCCACGACGGCCCAACAGGTGGGGGAGAGCTGCTTGCAGTAGCGCAGGAAGAAGGCCTCTCGCGTAGGTACTTGGGGCGTGAGCATCTGCGTTTCTAGATACATCTGATGGGGCAACGAGGGAGGCAGAGGGGTGAGGGGCGAAGAGAACGCATGCTTCTGTCTTGGCCACATGCATCACAGTCACTGCATGAGGCACCTGGGGCATGAGCACCCGGGTTACTAGGTACAGCTGATGGGAAAGGGAGCGAGGTGGAGGGGGGGGCGATGAGGGAATGAGGGGCACGGCTATGTGATGTGACGGGCCAGCACGTGGGGGAGAGCTGCTTGCAGTGGGCAGCAATACTCGCGTGCAAGGCAACATTGCACGCCACACCCCCTGCACAGAAACCCACCCCCTGCAAGGCAACTCACGAGCTGCAGAGTGCCGTTGCGCTGCGTGGGCTCATTGCCCACACAGATGACATCCACCACCACGGCGCGAGACACCAGCGATGGTAGCATCTCCGCCCACTTCACCTGTTGGGAGGAGTAAGCGAGGGACGGCATATCATATCGAACTTTGAGTTGACTCAACAGACATAGCAACATGGGCCTATCAGAGGTCGTCACATGATGCATCAGTTGGCGGGTCATGCCAGTTGCACATCAAATGAGGCAGCAAGGAATGTGTGAACTCTCCCAACACCCACCGGATCCATGAACAGCTCTACAAGCGCGAGAGCATTCAGCGACACCACTCCCCTTGCTCTCGATGCTTCAATGGACAGCCCCGGAGGGCCGTCGCCCACACAGTTGGGGAACCGCAGCCGATACTCCGTGCGGTTCAGCTGCTCGCCCCCATTCCCCGCCATGCCCCCTGCCCCATTCCCCATCCCCCCCCCCCCTTCCCCCCCGCCCCCCCCCCCCCCGCCCCCCCCCCTCCCGCACCCCGCTCCCCCGCTCCCGCCGCTCCCGTGCCTGTCGAAGGCTCGGGAGAGCAGGCCCGGGAGCCAGAGCGGTTCGTTGATCTGTGCCAAGCCTACGAGCTCCTCCAGAGAGGAGACTGCTAAGTCCATCACCACATCCCTCTCTGAGTCTGACAACCCCCCGCCCTCCCCTGATGCGCCTAGCAGGGCTCCCATGGCCTCCCCCCCCACTGGGTTCATCATGCCCCCGCCTGTCCGCAATGATGCTGCGAATCCTGGGCCTAGTCCTAATGCCCCCCCTGCTGCTGCTGCTCCTCCCGCTCCTGCTCCCCCTGCGCCTGCTCCGCCTGCTCCTCCTCCCATTCCGCCTGCCGCTAGACCCCACCCGCTAGCCAGCCCGAACAGAGACCCGTTTGCTCCTCCGCCTCCCCCTCCCCCCCCCTCCCCCTCCCCCTCCTCCTCCCCCTCCCCCTGCTGCAGCAGCGTCAGCAGCACGGGCAGCTCCATTCCCCCCCATGTCGTATAGCAACCCGCTGCTGCTGCTCCCTGCTCCCCCTCCCCCTGCACCTCCCCCTGCAGCAGCAGCAGCAGCAGCAGGAGAGGCGTTGGAGTGGGTGCTTCTCACCGCGTTGCTCCGGTGGAAATCCGACAACCCCTCCATCCCACTCGTCCCCACGCCTCCCGCCCCTGCTGCTCCCCCTCCCGCTGCTGCTCTCGCTGCAACGGCAGCTGCCACGTCACCACCCACACTCGCAGTTAACCCCATCATCCCATGTTCTCCCATTCCCCTCCCAGCAGCCGCTGCCGCAGCAGCCGCAGCAGAGAAACCCCCTTGACTGGCATCTGTGTTGAATCGGGATGACGGGACCATATCCCCTAGCAATCCTCCCATCGACTGCTGCTGCTGCTGCTGTTGCTGTTGTTGCTGTTGCTGTTGCTGCTGCTGTTGCTGCTGCATGCGTTGCAGTGCGCTAGCACTCGACTCCATGCCGAAACTTCCAACAGCACCACCAGCAGCAGCAGCAGCAGCAGCAGCAGCAGCGAAATCCCTGCCTCCCAACCCCATGACACCACTACCATCCTGCACCATCCCAGGGTTACCAATACCATCCATACCCCCATCCCCATTCCCACCACCACCACCGGCATTGCCGGCAGCAGCTGAATTCCCCCCGCCGGCGCCGATGCCTGCTGCCTGCATGCCGCCAGCAGCAGCAGCGTTGAGAGCAGCGACTGTGGCAGGGCCCATGGGATCCACCGCTCCCCTTGCCGCTAGCTGCCGCGCTGCCAGCATTGACACTCGCTCTATCTGCCATGTTATTGGGGGGGGGATAAGGGAGCAGAGGAGATGGAAGGTTGGGAAGAGGAAAGGTGGAAGCAGGGCGAGCGAGGCAGCAGCAGCGGCGTTGAGAGCAGCGACTGTGGCAGGACCCATCGGGTCCACTGCACCCCTTGCTGCCAGCTGCCGCGCTGCCAGCATGGAGACACGTTCTATCTGCCATGTTATTGGGGAGATAGAGGCGATGGGGAGAGGAAATGGGGAAGAGAGGAAATGAGGAGATGGGGAGATGGAGCGTGTTCTTGAAGTAAGCAATCTCCTCCATCAACTGAGCCGCCACACCAGAGGAATCGTGCATCGAATCACCACCAGTGCCAGGCACCGAGGCAAATGCTGTGTGTCGAGGCACTCACTCACAACACTTCACATCACCAACGCCCTCAAGTTGCTAGCCCGCCTACCTCGTTCTTGAGGTGCGCGTTCTCCTCCATGAGCTGGGCTGCCACGGCCGAGGCATCGTGCATGGGGTCACCACCGCTGCCCGGCACAAGGCGAGTGTGGCACGCGGGGCATGCAGCACCCGCCAGCACGGACCGCAGCCGCATCACCTCGCTGCGCAGCCGGTCATTCTCCTGCCGCAGCATCGCGTTCTCTGCTCTTTCCGTTTGCGCCTGGTGATGGCATGGCAACAGCCGCACAAAAGGGACACAGGTGCATGAGGAGGGTGGGGACTGGAGCAGCAGCACCACCTGCCAGCACGGAGCGCAGCCGCATCACCTCGCTGCACAGCCGATCATTCTCCTGCCTCAGCATCGCGTTCTCCGCCCTCTCCGTTTGAGCCTGGTGATGACAACAGGCACAGGGAAGAGTCACACACACAGGTGCATGAGGAGGGTCAGGACAGGACAGGACGGGACTGGCTGGAGCAGCAGCAGCCGCATCACCTCGCTGCGCAGCCGATCACCACATTGCAATGCACCGTACTGCACACACCGCACTCCACGAGGGCCTGTTGGAATAGAAGTTGCTGTCACAAGCACAGCAGCCGTCCGCTCACCTTCATCTGCGTGCGTCTGTTTTGAAACCAGAACTTGACTTGCCGCGGCGCCAGTGACAGCCGTTGGCTCAGCTGCTGCCGCTGCCGCTCGTCGGGATGCGGGCACTCGCGGAACAACCTGACAGGTGCTCAGAGGAGCGGGGGGATAGAAGGGTTTAGCAGAGATGGCAGACGGCAGAGCAGAGACGACAGATCAAAGATAGCACGTAAGGCAGAAGTCACAGCAGCACGCATCCACTCATGCACACACGCATAGCATGCGCGCATGCACGCACGCACGCATGCCCGCACGCTCACACTCACGCACGCTCGAACTCACGCACGCTCGCACTCACGCACACACCGTTCCATTTCTTGGATCTGCTGCGCAGTGTGGCGGTGATACCGCTTGCCCTTCTTCTTATCCCTCCCGCCCATCCCCTCCCCATCTGACGTCCCATCCTCCTCGCTCCCCGACCGGCTATCGTCTCCCCCCACTCCCCCCAACCCCCCCACTCCCCCCACTCCCCCCAACCCCCCCACTCCCCCCACTCCCCCCAACCCCCCCAACCCCCCAATTCCCCCGCCACCCGCGTCAGCTCCTTCCGCCCCTCCCGCTCTGTTCCCCCCAACTCCTGCTTGCGCTCCGCCGTTCTGCTCCCCCCCTGCGCTTCCGCTTCCGCCTCTCCCTGCGGGGGCTTGCGCTTCCCGCGCGCTTACCCCGCCGCTTCCGCCGCTGCCCCAGCTGCTGCCCCCTTCCCGCCCGCCGCCGTCTCTGTTTGCGCCGACCTGCGTCTCAGGCGCGCTGAAGGGCCCCGGCGGGGGGAACGGGTTGGCGGAAATCTCCTGCGCGCTGGGGAGATTGTTGAGCAAATCGCCCAGCACCTGATTGCGTGAAACCCGGAGGGCGAGGAGATGCGGGGAGGGCGAAGAGCGCAGAAGGGGAAGGAAGGTGCGCAGAGGGGGAAGGAAGGTGTGCAGAGGGGAAGGACGGTGTGCAAGAAGAATACACATAAATTATTTGAGAGGTCTAAGACTGAGGAATTACTACGCTTTTTCAATCTGAGCAACAGAACGTGGGAAGCGCACGTGTCAGCGCGCGCGCCCGCCACCCAAAGAGCGAATAACACTGACGCACGTGTCATTCAAGGAGCTAATAACACTGAATAACGTCCGTTAAGACCGTCCCTCATTTGACCTACTCTGACCTGGTCGCTGTCGCCTGTCTGCTCCATTTGTTGTTTTTTGCCGAATAACTAGCCTCCGCTCGACGCGTCCGCAACGCCAGGAATCGAATCTGCCGATAATATAGTGACGTTGAGTCGTATTTTAAGCCGCATGCGGCGTTTGACCAGACTCGTTTACGGGGTTTCCGTGTTCATCGGCCTGGTCCAAAAACAGAAATTCAAAAAGCAGCCTCTTCCTAGAAGAACTGCAAAGTCGCTTCGCCAATTCCTGCTGCTGACGTGAGCATCGTACTCGCCAAGCAGCGCACGAGAGTCAAACGTCCAAGACAAGTGTACGCATAGAACCGTCGTCGAAATAACAAACTGGGTTTGATCTCCACAGCTCCAACCGAAGGATTTAGTGCAGTAGGGTGAGCTGGAGAGAGTGAGGAGCATTTACTACCTAAGCAAAAGATTCCAGTGTTCTTTGCTGTCCTTGAGCGCGCCTGCCAACGCCATTAACTACGCTCAATTCACTTGGCTCAGCCGAGGACGAACAAAGCAGGCTCCCTATTCGGATGTCTGATGAGCAACAGAGCACGACTAGGGTTTCGCTCACATCTTGCCGTCAGTAAAGTTCCACGCTGTCAAAATCGACGGTTGAGAGGAACTTTATCCTCCATACATTAATGTCGGAGATACGTAACGACCGCCCGTCATAAAGGCATGAGAAGTGTACCAGTCAAGTGGATAATTTGGGGTTGCCCTGACCGGGACATTCACGAATCTGGTTTTCCAACATCAACAATCTCTCCCCCCGATCTTTCTTCGGAAGTTTCGTCAGGACTAGAAGTGCAATCGAATCAACCCCAGTAAAATCCTCACTCAAGGGACAGCTGCCCAGTGGCCACGTGTTGGGGAGCAAAAAAGGCTTTCTCAATGCGTTTTTCAGTACCCAGCCAAATAAGAGCAAAAACCGAGCATTCTCTGCTACTAGAAGGCGAAGTAATGCACCTTCGTGCGAATAGGCTCACAGAGCGGTTGAGATCAGGGGTAGCTTGCTCGACGTCACCAAGAAAAAACTTAGTCACGCTGCTTCGACGGACCAGCCGCTTGCTCTCGACCTCTTTGAAGAAAGGTTTCACCACTGGTTCGCCGAGACAGAGTGGTGAAGGTTCCACCACTGGTTTCGCCGAGACAGAGGTACCCCAAACCTGCTTTGAATCCTCCAAACCACCACTTCAAAGTTTGAAAAGGTCATCAGGGTGAACATTCCAGCCCTCTTTTGTCGTGGACGCTTGGTGATGAAGTTCATTCCAGCTTCCAATAGAAAGCTCCTCGTCAGCATACAGCTCAACAGATTGGACGGGAGCTGAACGTGCGAATTCCAACAAGAAAGTGACATGGAGGTGCACCAGATACAGTATTCGGCTCACAAAACAGAAACTTTTTAGAGGTTGCACTTCTGCGGGCAGGGTTGAGAAGCCCGCACTTAATAGAGTTACGGATGTGTTTGTTGCCACCGCTATACAGTACTTTCCCAATAAAAAGCCCCTTGTGATCACAGTGTATGTGCTGGAAGTTCCATTCCGTTCCGTCAGCGGACCCCTCGGAGGTTCGAAAGCTGTTGTTCAGGATTTGTGGAAGTGCCCGGGAACCCGCGGGTCAAAAACGACAAAATGAAGCGTTTGTCACCTTGAACTTCATTTTTGTCATCTTGAACAGACTTGAAAGGACATTTCACACAATACAATGAATACAGTGTAAAGCACCAATGTATACAGAGACAACTGATTTTTTAGGGCTATTTGCATACTAGGCTGATTTTCCATGCTGTTAATTTATCCAAATCAGACTCTGTAAGAAAAATATCATGCGGGGTACCTGAGCCGTGTGGACCCTGATTTAAGTGGGCGCCGTAACACCACACCCAATGCAAGCTCTTGTTGCACCACCTAATCAAACACAATCAGTGAATACCTTCAGGACCTTCATGCAAAGTTCTATCCATTCCAAAACGCCATACGTTACCAGAGTCAACCTTTACCGCACAACTGTTGATTGAAGGCCTACCCTACGCAACCGTCGTCTCCATGCACTCCCTCTGCAGTCACTTCAGTGCGCTACAGATTAGGAACACAAGAGCACGCCAGACCGAAGATCTAATGGAACAGTGAAACAAAATAAAGAAATAGGGCTACACAGTGCCCCGTTGCGACACAAATGCATTCGCCATGTCAGCTACACTACACCCTCGCTGTCACTGTAGACGGAATCATTGGTGAGCGGGGTGAGGCAGAAGGGCAGGCGGAAGGAGGCGATGATGTTGGCTCGTGACCGGGCAATGGCTCGCCGCCTCTTGGCCTGCTTCGTCTCCGCTTCTGATGGTGGTGGCGGTGCTTCTGGTACCTCACACTGATTCGCCACCACCCATGGGTGCTCTGTGGAGGAGAGGGAGCGACGAAGGGAGTAGGGCAGCGGGAGAGACGGAGGGCAGCGGGAGAGGAAGAATCGAGCAGAGACGGGCGGGGAAATGAGTGAGGGAAATGAGTGGAGGGAAGGGATGTCAATGGGAAGGGAAGAAACAGATGAGCTGCTTGGCTTGGCGCAGAAGGATGAAGGTGGTTCTGCTGCCCCGCCCCTCACACGATCTGCAACTCCCACTCATTCCCATGCCCACTCACCAATCACTTCATCCAAGGTAATGCGCTGGCTGGCATCGCTCGTCAGCATGCGGTGCACGAGCCCTTTAGCATCCCGGGAGATGCCCGTCCAGGGCCCGGTGCGCGTGTCCACGTGGCCCTTGAGGATGAGCTTGTACACACCCGCGTCTGAGTCGTGCCAGAACGGCAGCTTCTGCGCCAGCAGCACGTACAGCACCACGCCCAGCGACCACACGTCGCACTCAAACCCATATGCACCGCCCAGCACCTCTGGAGCGATGTAGAAGGGGCTGCCTGCATAGCCGCGGATGCGCTCGCCTGATGGGGAAGGAGGGGAGGGGAGAGGAGGAAAGGGGTTGATTGGGATTCTCAGGCTTACTCAAGCGCGATGTAGCACGGGCTGCTTGCGTAGCCGCGGATGCGCTCGCCTGATGTAGGGGGGGTCCGGGGAAGCGGGGGGGAAGAACGGCTCATTAGTGACTGACTGCGGAGTATCATCTACTTGGGGGCGAGATAAGCACCTCTGCCTGTATGGCCTCCAATTCACTCGTTTGGTGGAGGGGTGATGAGGGGTGGCGCGCAGAGAGGGGGATGGTTGATTCGAGATTATTCACGCTTATTTCAGGATGGTCACTTCACAGGATGGCAATGCAGAAGAGACTGCCTGCACCCGGCCTCACCCAGAAACACCCGTCACAATCCTACCCCACAATCCTATAATTTTTTTTTGCCTGCCCAGGGGGTTTTTTTGCCCTGCCCGGCCTTGCGTCTTTTGGTGCGTCTTAGGGGTCCTGGAGCTGCGTCCTGCGTCTGGACGCATGCGTCCAAGACGCAGGACGCGTCTTTCGCATCATAGGTACTGACCACAACCCCATGTACTGCACTGCTCTTCACACATACCCACCCGTCCCCACCCACCTGGTTTGAGCATGGCGGAGATGCCAAAATCCGCGACCCTCAGATCCCACCAGTCGCCCTTGGCGGCCATGAGGATGTTCTCTGGCTTGAGGTCCCGATGCACGACGCCCTGGCGGTGGCAGTACCGCACCGCACTGCACCGCTCTGGACCGCACACACCCATCCTCACACACACCCGTACCTGGTTTGAGCATGGCGGAGATGCCAAAATCCGCAACGCGCAAATCCCACCAGGCGCCTTTAGCAGCCATAAGTACCCGATGCACGACGCGACGCCCTGGCGGTGGCAGGCAACACTACAGCACACGATACCGCACTGAACCACTCTGCACCGCACACACACATCCAGACACACACCTGGCTTGAGCATGGCGGAGATGCCAAAGTCAGCGACCCGTAAATCCCACCAGGCGCCCTTGGCAGCCATGAGAATGTTCTCTGGCTTGAGATCCCGATGCACCACGCCCTGGCGGTGGCAGTAGCGCACGGCATCGGCCAGGCGCCTGACTATGGTGGCGGCCTGCTGCTCCGAGATGGCTGGCGCCGTGTTCACGAAGTTGAGCAGATCTCCCCCACTGCACAGCTCCATTAGCAGGTGCACGTGCTGGGGAGAAGAGAAGAGTGGGGAGGGGCGGAAGGCAGTTGGAAGCAGGGAAAGCGGGGGGCATTAGAAATTGGAGTTGAGCAGGTCGCCCCCGCTGCACAGCTCCATGAGCAGATGCACGTGCTGGGGGGGAGAAGGGGGGGGGTGTGGTGGGGAAAGTGAAAGGGAAGTAGGGGGATATTAAGGGGGAGAAAGGTAGGAGAAACGGGGTGAAGAAGAGGGTTTAGGAGTACAAATATGTTTGAGAGCACACAGTGCGTGAGCGAGCGGTGCTTGCATACGACGGATTCTGTATAAAGCAATGGCAAAGCGGTGCACAGTGCATGGGCTTGGGACGGATTTTTGTATAAATTGCGGTTTGGGACAGTGCATGGGCAGAGCAGAGGACAGCGGGGACGAGGGAGGGTGGGAGGAGGTTTTAGTTGGACGGGAAGGGTTGCACTGGCCAAGACGCGCGGAAGAGCCTTGGGGTGTGGGCATGTGAGCGTGTGTGGTGTGGAGTTAGAGAGATGGGCTGGGAGGAAAGGGAAGCTCCTCACCCCACCCACCCACAGCACCACCCACCACCCACAGTACTACAACCCACAGTACTACAACCCACAGTACTACAACCCACAGTACTACAACCCACAGTACTACAACCCACAGTACTACAACCCACAGTACTACAACCCACAGTACTACAACCCACAGTACTACAACCCACAGTACTACAACCCACAGTACTACAACCCACAGTACTACAACCCACAGTACTACAACCCACAGTACTACAACCCACAGTACTACAACCCACAGTACTACAACCCACAGTACTACAACCCACAGTACTACAACCCACAGTACTACAACCCACAGTACTACAACCCACAGTACTACAACCCACAGTACTACAACCCACAGTACTACAACCCACAGTACTACAACCCACAGTACTACAACCCACAGTAACTCACCGTGATTCACTCACCGTGATTCACTCACCGTGATTCACTCAGCGCACACAGACAGGCACCCTAGCTTCCGTACCCCTCAGGCTATCACACGAGGGAGTATAGCCACAGTACTGTCCATTGCCCAAGGCATCACCCACAGCACCACCCACAGCACCACCCACAGCATCACTCACAGCATCACTCACAGCATCACTCACAGCATCACTCACAGCATCACTCACAGCATCACTCACAGCATCACTCACAGCATCACTCACAGCATCACTCACAGCACCACTCACAGCATCACTCAAGCATCACCCACAGCATCACTCACAGCATCACCCACAGCATCACTCACAGCATCACTCACAGCATCACCCACAGCATCACTCACAGCATCACTCACAGCATCACTCACAGCATCACTCACAGCATCACTCACAGCATCACTCACCGTGTCATCCTCAATGGCGTCCCGAACCGACACGATCCCCCCGTGCACGCCCAGCTGCTTCATCAGCTCCACCTCCAGCCTTAAAGCCTCCGCCTTCTTATCATCATCCAGTGTCTTCTTGTCTATCGACTTGCACGCCAGCGCGCGCCCACTCCTCCTCGCCGTGCACGCATACACCACCACCCCCGGCCGCCCCTCTCCTATCTTATCCCCCACCTCGTACACCTTCCGCACGTCCGCGTATCCCCGTTTTAGGATGCCCTCTTTCCCGCCAGTGCCCACTGTCCATTCCTCCGGGCTGCCCCCGCCGTCCCCTCCCCCCCTGGGACTGCGCATGGACCCTGTGCCTGTGAGGCTGTGCGCTATACCGCGTGGGCTCTTATCGAAGCGTTTGGATCCGCTGAAGGAGAAGAGCCGCGGGCTGCGCAGGGGGGAGAGGGACGGGCGCGAGGCGCTCTTCCGCTCGCCTGCTGCTGCCTCCGCGGGGCTCGCGCTCCTGCCCCCCGCACCCCCGCCGCCCGCCCCTCCTCCCCCTCCTCCTCCTCTGGGCGAAACCCCCACTGCAGCCGCGCCAGCACCCGTGCCCGCGGCCCAGTCGTCTCCGCCAGTGGGGCTTTTAAGCCCCGCGCCAGTGGCGAGGTCGAACGTGCCTGACAGGCGCGGCGAGCGCAGCCCCTTGAGCAACCCCAGGAACGCCCTCCGCCCCGACTTGCTCTGGTCCAGAACCGGACCTCCGCCCGCTGCCCTCCCCCTCTCCCCGCCCGTTGCTTCCCCCGCTGCTTGCGCCCCCTCCCGCCCCGCGTCCCCCGACCCCACCACCACTGGCCCGGAAAACGACGAATTTCCTGCCGCCCCCGCGGAGAGTTTCCCCAGTTCGAGCGCGGGGGGGCGGCGGAGGAGGGAGTCCGCCACCGGAGTGTCTTCCGCGTCCCCCCCCGCCTCCCCCGCGACCTTCTTAAGCGACTTGGAGAACCGCAGCTTAGCTCGGTTCGCCGCGCGCCCGGCCGTCCCTCCGCCTGCCGCCGCCGCCGCCGCCGCGTCGTCCGCGTCCTCGCTACTGTGCACTCCGCTTCCGTGCATCCCACCTTGCGGAACCTCCGACGCAAATCGCGCGTGGCGCGGGGAGCGGTTATCCGCGGACGTGCCCCGCCGGAATTGCCCGCTTCCCCCGCTTGCGCTCCCTGCGCCCCCTCCCCCGCCGCTGCCACTACCGCCGCTGCTGCTGGCGTGTAACTGCTGATGACGCTGGTGAGCATGCTGCTGCTGCTGCTGCTGCTGCGGCTGCTGCTGTGCGTGGTGGTAATGATAATGGTTACCGCCCACATCGTCCCGAGCCACAAGCGATCCCGAGCCTGGTCCTCTCCGCCTCTCGCTCTCCTTCAACCCTAGAATCTGCCGCGCTGCCGCTGCTCCCCCGTGGCCTGCAGCGGCCGCAGCGGCAAGTTGCAGCTGCTGCTGCTGCTCCCGCCGCAAGGCATCCAGCTTGTCCAAACCTAGCCCCAAGCCGTCAGCTTCGGCCATGCTCGCTGTGGCTCGGGATTTACCGGACCTGGTCTGAGGTCCGGAACCAAGACCCGACCCTCCGCCGCCGGTTGGGCCGCCCCCGCGCGGGGAGAGCCCGGCCTGCGGACCTGAATGCGCGGCGGCGTGCGGTCCAGAGTGGTTGAACGTGGTCGCGGCGTGCGAGGAGCGCGGGTTAAAGGACGCTGACGCGGACAGGCGCCTGGAGGACGATTTCTGTGGCGCGTCGACCGACGCTCTTGACGACCCCGCGCTGCTGCTAAACCCGCCGCTGACGCTTAGATTACTACTCATGCTTCCGCCCTCCAGCGATGTTCTCCTTCCCCCCGTGCCTCCGCCTTCCGCCCTGTGCCGTCTCTCCGCGTTGCTGGTGGTGTGGTGGCGCGACACTGCCCCCAATGCGCTAGTGGGGCTCATCGGACCGTTCCCCTTGTGCGCAAACCCCACGTCCTTCGCACCTCCGCCGATGGCGCGAGCGCTCTTCTTTCCGCGCATGGCGTCCGACGCAGTGTGCGCGCGTCGGGCGGGGGGAGGCTGTTCCGCGTCCTCCGGGTCCTCAATCCCGTCCTCATCCTCATCGTCGCTGCGCAGAAGCTCCTTCGGCGGATGCTGCGCGTGCGCGGGCTGCGCATGCGCGGATTGCGAAGCCCCGGACCAGCGCGCGGACACGTGGCGGGGCGGGGAAGACGGGTGCTGCCTCATGTCAAAAACAAACTCCCGGGAAAGAGACACCGCTCCGTACCCTGAAGATCCCGACATTGCGGTAACCGAACCTGCTGCTGAGCCTGCTCCCGAACCTGAAGAAATGGCGGACCCAGGCCTACTGCCGCCACTGCTCCCAGGCCTAGCTCGATCTCGGTAGTAGCTGATTCCTTTACCGGAAAAACTTGAAGAATCCGACGAATCGTCATCGTCGAAGCGTACATTGTCATAATCGTCTACATACGAGCCTTTGCTGCTAGCCCGAGTCGACCCCTTCTTCCCGCCGCTATTTCCTCGATAATTGTTTTCCGTGGCGCGCAACGGGCTGCTCTGAAGATTCGGAATGCCAAGAGCGTTGATTCGCTCCGCAATATTTTCTACGGGCAGCGGGTCGAAAAATGGTTGCGATAGAGACCGGTGGTGTTTCTTCTGCGATGGCGGAGGAGCCTGCTCCGCGTGTCCGCGGGAAAGGGGAGAGTTGCGCGGGGAACGGCCAGTGTCGTGGAACGGGGGGAAGGCGGGAGAGGGCGAGACGTCGCGGCGGTGCGAGTGAGACAGTTCCGCGCGGTGGAAATCCTCCATGCCATGGAGGTCCGTCCCCGACCGCCGATGGTACGACCGACTAGCCATGAATCGAACGCACGTCCGTGGTTGGCGTCAACGAAGACACCTTTTGTAAATAATGGTTTGTAAGGGACGGCAGGGAGAGGGCGAGACTGGCTGACCCCGATTCTAGTCTACAACACCGTTTCCCGCAATAAGTGGAAATAATTTAGGGCATTAATGAATGCGATGGCGTCGGCGAGAAAGGGTTGAGGCTGGCTGAAGCCAGCGAAGTCCAACCATGGTCCCGAGCTATCAGGAAGGCCTATCCACAGAAGGGAGTACTGTATCTACCAGCATAGTGAAGCCATGGATGAAGGTTGTGTGGGGAAACATCGAGGTGTGGAGGGTGGCTGTCAGCAGTTTTGCTGTTCAGAACAAGAAGCCGGGGTATGCACCGGGTTTCTCTCATTGTAAAAAATGGATCAGCCTCTCGAAGTCCAGACTTTCAATGGAGAGATGGAGGTTTTCTAGGTGGTTCAGCGCTGACGTTTAAAGAATGCACTAGTGACCTGCTTCACAGTTGACGGAAACCACGTAAACATACACCCATGCAGCAGCTTTTGGGTTAGGCGATACACTTTCAGCTGTCTCAGCGAGCTTGGATGCGGATGAAATTTTCACGACGCCGAACATGCAATCGTCGAGACTATATGGCCTTCAGCAGAAAAAAAATAAATGAGCAGGAAAATCTTGAGAATATCGAGGCGAGGCGACGAAACGAGACTGGTTGCAGACGAAGACCTTGAAGTTGGTCAGGTAAATCGAGCGGCTGAAAACAGTCAAGTTCCTTCAAGAAACATTATTGGACGTCGATTCACCGATGACGTCCTTTCTTGTGGTCTGCAGGATACTGTGCGGCAAAACCAAATCTTTTGATGAAAATCCAGGAGCCAACCTGGGCAGGAATGAAAATACTTTCATATCGTGCTGCCACCCGTTGTTCTTTCCGTGGCTTCATATTTACTATCTGCAATTCAGCACCTTCACTAGCATTCTCAAGCTCAATAATCTGGAAGCAGTTGCTTCGTAGCGGGTACAAATTCAAATATTCAATTATTCCATGACCCGCAAGAAGCATCTCATCTCATAACACATACACAGGGTACTTGAGTTCCTCTCAACAGTTTCGGAAAATAGCGAGTAATTGTCGAGCGTCTGCACGGTCTGCATTCGTGCACGAAACACTCTTCTCCAGTGACCACTTCCAAGCACGTGTCTGATTCAGCATACCCTGTCGCCATGGGAATTAAAGTAAGCGGACGGATTGCTGTCGATGGTATCAGGCCTTTATCGTTCAGCTTCACTAGGCGGTCGAGACCTTCGTCGCGTCCTATGCATCCATCGCTTGGCATACATCCATCGTTTCTCCTGAATCCGCCGTCTGCCATGCGTCCATCACTCATCCCCGGTACTAGCTTCTGATTCATCCGCGACTCCCTCGTCACATCAGCGTCGCGTCATGTCCTTATCATCGTTACATTTCGTCCCGCGTGTCCGTCCGTCTGCCACGTGACGCTCAGGGATTGACGAAGTTGCTAGCGGACAACGCGCCGGGGTGCATGAGGGAGCAGAAGCTGGAGAGCTACTTCGGCCGCAAGATCGCCATTGACGCCAGCATGAGCATCTACCAGTTCCTGGTAACGTCTAGCAGTTCCTGGTAACGTCTAGCAGTTCCTGGTAACGTCTAGCAGTTCCTGGTAGCATCTACCAGTTCCTCGTAACGTCTAGCAGTTCCTGGTACCGTCTAGCAGTTCCTGGTACCGTCTACCAGTTCCTGGTAACGTCTAGCAGTTCCTGGTACCATCGCTGTCGTTTCTCTGTTTATTGTTTTGGTATCACCGTGCTCCTTACCCCATTTCTCCTGGCGCTGTCAGATCGTGGTGGGACGGCAAGGCACGGAAACACTCACCAACGAGGCGGGCGAAGTCACAAGGTGAGACGGTTACCAGACAACTGGGTTACCAGCTGAGTATAAGCAATGGGGTGACTAAAATCAAGTCACCTTTGTTTTTGTTTTCTATATTGAGGCTTTCTCATATCCTCCAATCCTCTCCCTCACCTCCCATTTCTTCCCCTCACCTCACCTCCTCTCCCCTCCCCTCCCCTCCCCTCCCCCCAACTCCTCTCAACTCTCCTCCCCTCCCCTCCCCTGCCCTTCTCTCCTGTCCCTTCGCCTGTCCACCAGTCACTTACAGGGGATGTTCACGCGGACAATCCGCATTCTAGAGGCGGGGCTCAAACCAGTGTACGTCGCAAATGATTCGCTATAATCATTACCTCTCGAAACCCCTTGCAGCATCAACCAGCCTGTATCACGATCCCCCACCTCTCCTCTAACTTCCCTTTTCTTTCACCACCGCACCTCTCCCACATGCCCCCTTCGCCGTTTTCTCCTCAGCTATGTGTTTGACGGCAAGCCGCCGGACCTTAAGAGGGAAGAACTCAAGAAGCGGTGAGCCTTATCCCCATTCCGCTTGCCCGTTCCACCTCGGCCTTTCTTGCACCTCTCTGTCACGCTATTGGAGTAATGCTGCCGTTAAGCCTCTCTGATTCACCTCCCAACCTCTTTCATTCACCTCCCAACCTCTTTCATTCACCTCCCAACCCCTGTGATTTACCTCACACCCCGTTCCATGCAGGTACTCTCGGAGGGAGGGCGCAACGGAGGGGTTAGAGGAGGCGAAGGAGGAGGGGAAGGCGGAGGACATAGAGAAGTACAGCAAGCGCACAGTGCGGGTCACACGGCAGCACAATGAGGACTGCCGCCGCCTCCTGCGCCTCATGGGCGTGCCTGTTGTGGAGGCACCCTCGGAAGCAGAGGCTGAATGTGCAAACCTAGCGAAGCAGGGCAAGGTGAGAAGGGCTGTGGGCAGCAGGCAGGGCTGTGCAGGTCACACGGCAGCACAACGAGGACTGCCGCCGCCTGCTGCGCCTCATGGGCGTGCCGGTGGTTGAAGCGCCCTCAGAAGCCGGGGCTGCGCGAATCTGGCGAAACAGGGCAAGGTGAGAAGGGCTAGAGGGCAGCAGGCAGGGTGAGAGAAGAGCAGGCAGCACAACGAGGACTGCCGCCGCCTCCTGCGCCTCATGGGGGTGCCGGTCGTTGAGGCGCCTTAGAAGCAGAGGCGGAGTGTGCCAATCCGGCCAAGCAGGGCAAGGTGAGAAAGGCTAAAGGAGGGCAGCAGCACTGGAGATTGAGCCTGATGGGGGTTCCCGTTGTTGAGGCGTTGTCTAAATTAGAGGCTGAGTGCGCACACCTGGCCAAGCAGGGCAAGATGAGAAGGACTAGAGCACAGCAGTCTTTGTACAGAGGCGCATCATGGGCGGGCCGGTCATTGTTCCCCCTTCTCCCTGCTCCCTCGGTTCCTTTTTCTACGGAGTTTTATTGTTTTTTTGCTCTTTCTACCCCCTCCGTGCCCCCCCCTACGTGAGCAGGTGTTCGGAGTGGCATCGGAGGACATGGATGCACTCACCTTCGGGGCGCCCAAGTTCCTCCGGCACCTCATGGAGCCAGCTGCCAGGAAGCTTCCCGTCATGGAGTTTGACGTGGCCAAGGTGCGTTCAGTTCAGCATTGACTGACTGACGTACTTTCATGCGCTTCTTTCCAGGCTCGCTTTGGAACTTCTCCCTCACGCCCCTCACCGCCCCTGTCTTCCTGCCTTTCCGCTGCACCAGGTACTGGAGAAACTTAGTCTCTCCATGGACGAGTTTATTGACCTCTGCATCCTATGCGGAATACAATGCCACTGTCGCGACTACATCGGATCAAAGGAGCATAGGATCAATTTATCTCCCAACCGTTCTGGCTCACGCCTCTGCCTTCCCACGTTTTCCCTTGCCAGGTACTGGAGGGACTGGGTCTCTCAATGGACGAGTTCATTGACCTCTGCATCCCATGCCGCTGTTATGACTGGGTCCTTTCTCCCCACCTTTCACAACCCTTTCCACCTCTCTCCCAACCAGGTACTGGAGCTACTGGATCTCTCAATGGACGAGTTCATCGACCTCTGCATTCTGTGCGGCTGTGACTACTGCGAGTCCATCAGGGGCGTGGGACCCACCACGGCACTCAAGCTCATTCGCCAGCACAAGAACATTGAGACCATTCTCGAGAAGACAGGCGACAAGTGAGTGTGTTTTTGCGATAAGTGTGTGGGTGGATGACTGTGGGAGTGAGGGGATGAGTCAATGCAGTGAGCATGTTCATACTAGTCACAGTACCTCTTATGACTCTGAACCTCCTTGGGTAGCTTGTGGCGTTTTTAGGTGTTCAGCGACACCATCTTATTCTCAGCTGCTCCAGTCTTTCCCAGTTCTCCTCGTTTCCTCCCCTCCCCCTGCCATTCTCTGTCCAGGGAGAAGGTGCCAGACCCCTGCCCGTACGACTTTCTAGTCAACTAGAAACGAAGTTTCTATTCCCTCCCCTTCCCATCCCCCCTGTTCTCCTCCAGGTATCAGGTGCCAGACCCCTGGCCATACGCGGAAGCCAGAAAGCTCTTCAAGGAGCCGCTAGTCACACCTTCTGACGAAGTCCCTGAAATCAAATGGACGCCACCGGATGAAGAGGTAAGGTGCATTTTGACGGCTAAGATCACTGCTTATCTGAACGATGTCTTTGGCGCTGAGATTAGAGGTTGTTGTGCCGACTTTATGACTTCTTGACGGCTGAGTCATGCAGACCCACTGCTCGCCCCACATTCTGTGCCGGGCGGGCGCCCCCTCATGTGGCGTGTGGTCGGCATGTGCATGTGCTTGCCTGCAGGGGCTGGTGAAATTCCTGGTGGAGGAGAACGGGTTCAACTTGGAAAGAGTCACCAAGGTACAGTCGCCTGCAGTGAGTGAGGATGGCAACATACTCTTCTGTTGTGCTGACCCAGGGGGGGCGCATGAGGGTTGGCCTCAGATGCCCCTTGCCATAAGAATCTGCGCGTTTTTGCTCCTTGCTGTGCCGTGCATTGCTGTTCTGTTCTGTGCTGCGATGAGCTAAGCGGTGCTGAGGTGGGCTGTAACACGGCCGTTGTAGAGTTGTGCATCATGCTCCACAGCGCACGTTTGGCTGCGTGGCCCTTAATGTGTTTTATTATGACCGTTGGCAGGCCATAGAGAAGATCAAAGCTGCCAAGAACAAGGCATCTCAAGGAAGGTGCGTCTCCAATGCCTCTCACCTTCTCTGCTTGGTCTGTCTCCGTTTTTCTCCTCTCCTTGTTCTCCGCTTTCCTGCTTCTCTCATCTCCTCACTGCATGCGCCCCCCAGTAGTTCGCTCTCCTGTGCCTCGCGGCTTGCTCTATGCAATTCAGTGGCTGACATTGTCAATGCATGCACCTATCCTTGGCACAAATTTTTGAGGGACTACCTTTCTGTCCCCCAACATCCTCATAGTTGTCCCACACTCACCAACCCACTACTTGCATAACCTCTTTCACACCTCTCATGCGTGTGTACTGTTTTACGAACAGACTGGAGTCATTCTTCAAGCCGTCTGCTTCGCCTGCTTCCACAACTCCCAAACGAAAGGCATGTTCTTGCAACCTGCCCCCCATGCACCTTCCCTGTGACCTCACTTTCTTCTGTTTTGCTCATATCCACCTTTTTGTCATGTCTCATCTGCCGCTCAACCTGTCCTGTGGTTTGTGCAGGAGCCGCCTCCTGTCAAGGGTGGTAAAGGTGCCGGTAAGGCAGCACCTGCCAAGAAAGGAAAGAGAAAATGAAGTTACGTATTGTGTTGTTACTAATCTGTGATGAGTCGAGCTGGGAATTTAGATGCAGTGTACCATAATAAAAGAATTTCCCAATAAAATTGCAGCTTCCATCCTGCACGTAGCCCACCTTCTCTGGCTAGTGAATACTGCATTTGGTGCATTGTGCATGTAAGGGATGTGGCAATTTTCCACAACATTTTCATTCATTCTCAAGGTTCAGCATCAGTGCCAGACATCAGCCAGCAAATCTGATGACAAAAAAACCAGATATGAGGCTGAGCAACAGACCATGACCTGGCACTGGCTCCTGCCACTCCCGGGGCCTTGACTGGCAGCATTCCACTGGGAACACTGCAACATGCATCTAGCTGCCACCAGCACTGGGTGGTGGCGCTGCGCTAACATTTACAAGGTGCCAGAATGAACGGCACATCCAAAGCACCACCACCACGCTGGGGCAGACATTGGCATGAGACGCGGCCCAGAAGTCAGCTGCAAGGAGCTTCATCGCATTCCTGCTTTCATCCGACTTCATTACACTTCCACAACCTCCTCTGCTCCTGAGCCTTGTTCACCACCAAAGTGACACATGGATACACTTGAACCTGCACAGAACACACCACTGCTGATCCAACATTCCATCACCGAAGCCGTGCAGAACCATCACATGAATCACTCGTCGTAAAACCTTTTCACAGTTCTATCTCCAGCCCTTCTCTTCCACAAAGATGCCCTCCTTCACCACATTCCACAGGCCCTCCTCTTCCACAGGCCCTTCTCTTCCACAAGTCCTTCTCTTTCAAAAGCCCTCCTCTCCGCAAGCCCTCCTCTTCCACAAGCCCCCTCTTCCACAAGCCCTCCTCTTCCACAGGCCCTCCTCTTCCACAGGCCCTTCTCTTCCACAAGTGGTGCGTCTCTCCTCTTCACTAACTCCACTAGCCTCTCCTGTCCTCCACACATCGACCTCACCACTCGGATTCCTTCATCAAAGTTTAATCCTGCTCCAGCACAATCTCCTCTCCCAAACTTGCTCAACTTGCAACCGCTTCTGCAGTTCCACTTGTCCTAAACTGCTTCACGTCATCCCCTCCTTCCTGGCCAAAACTTACCAGCAGCTGCCATCAGCTCCCCAGCCTAGATCCCACAATCATTGACTGCAACTGCCAAATCTTTCCTCAAAATGATGACATTGACGCCCATGAAACACTTTCCCAAACAAAAGACCATGCATCTCAGGAAGAACCCCTTCGGGCCCTTCAAATCTCCACACCCATCAGCATCCAGTAAGCTCCCAACAAGATTCCCAACACGGCGGATTCAGAGCTGCTTAACAGCGATCTACACCCGAGTCGATGTCCTGCTGCAAGCCTGCTGCTGCTACTTCTCATGCTGCCTTTGATGTTGATGCTGCCTGTGCTGCTGCTACCGCTCTTGCCGCTGCTGCGACTCTCTGAACACCTCGCCCTTAACGCCTCACCCTTACACCGCCGCCTAACGATGTCCGCCAAGAAATATGATTCCATCGGTGGTTCCCCTCCTCCAGCTCCACTAGCCTCCTCCCTTAGGCATTTCCAACAGTCACTGCCACTTTTGCTTGAATGACGCGAGCTACTGGCCGTTGCAGCTAAACACTCGTGGTCAAGACTGAATGTCAGTAGAAAGAAAAGAAAGTAAAAAAAAAGGACTCAGGATGCCCTCTTGAACTCGCACACACCAGACCCCGTCCATCCAGCAGCTGCCTTTTCCTCCATTAATTTCCAACGAAAAGAAATGCTGCTCCGGACCTCCTTCCATATATAATCAATCATGAAGCCGCACGCTTCAGCCGTCTCTTCCACGAGTCCAGGACACCCTCGACGCCTGACGACCTACTGTATTCACATTCGCACGATCGGACAGTACAGCCTCCTCTTGCAACCCACGGCTATTTTAACCACCCCCGTACCCCAGTCAGTCGTAGAAATCCATCCGAACAGCTCCAGCCGCGTCCCCCCTCCCCCCCCTTCCTCCATGGTCTCCTAAGAGCAGTAGATCGCCCTATCGATCTGTGGAGGAATGGGTTTTATTTCCGTTCCAAGCTCCTGCTCGATCCGGTAGCTGCAATACAGATTCGAAGTGTAATAAGATTCTAGAGGCAAGACAGGTAGATAGCATTAAAGAATGTCGTACAAATCGGCAAACAAGGACTTACAGATTGAAGCGGTCATTGTATGTGATGAGATTGATCGCCAAGCCAAGATGACCGAACCTTCCAGATCGCCCGACCTGCACAACAGGGAAACAAACAAGCTTAAACACAGCGTTTGATAGAGAAATGTGAGGATGTCAAATGAAGATACTACAACACGAACCCTGTGAAGGTAGGTCTCCGACGTCTTCGGGAAGTCGAAATTTATGACGACATTCACTGCCTGAATGTCGATTCCTCGAGTGAAAAGATCTGAAATTGAACAAAAAATTAGGTTAAGCGTATAAACAGGTTGAAAGCATGAACGAAGCGAGCAATACCTTAAGAATGACGAAGCATAACTTACCCGACGAGACCAGGTTCCTGCAGGCCCCATTGCGGAAATCATGAAAGACGCGGTTGCGATGGGACTGCAGCATTTTTGCGTGGATGTAGAAGCAAGAGTAGCCAAGCTCCGTGATCTTCTTGGCTAACAGCTCCACACGGTTGACCGAATTGCAGAAGATAATTGACTGATTGATTTGCAGCTGCAACACATTAAAATTGTTTTTAAGCATTGAGAAAACACTAAGATCAGACTGAGTCATTCATTGTCTCAACATTCGCAGATCGGATTGCACCGAAGGAACGCACCTTAGAGAACAAGGTGTTGAGGCAATGGACCTTTTGCCGCTCCTCCACGAAGGCGTAGTATTGAGTGATACCCTTAAGGGTCAACTCGTCCATGAGGTTAATGACATAAGGCTTGTTAAGCCATCTGTCTTTGAACGCTTTCACGGTCACAGGGAAGGTGGCTGAGTACAAGAGAATCTGTCGCGTTGGAGCGAGATAGCCAATAAGGCGCTCCACAAGAGGCTGAAACTCTGGAGAGAGAAGCTTGTCGGCCTGTTAAGACACAAGCTTGCACAGATCATGGGCCACAATCGCCAAGAAGGAAAACAAATCTGGGTATGATCAGATCTCCAGTAGCAAGACACACCTCATCCATGCACAGCATGTTGCATTCTCTAAGGTTGCACACGCCCTTGTTCGCCAAATCTAGTACACGGCCGGGCGTAGCGACAAGGAGATGCACTGGTTGGTAGAGACGCATGATATCGTCCTTAAGACTCGTGCCACCCGTCGTCGCCATGATCTGAATGTTCATGTGCTTCGCAAGCTCTTTGCAAACTTGCGAAGTCTGCAGCGCAAGCTCTCTTGTAGGGACCAGGATAAGAACTGCACGAAAAAAAAAAAAAAAAAAACACACACACACACACACACACACACACACACACACACACACACACACACACACACACACACACACACACACACACACACACCAGATTTAGCCTGAACAAAAATCGGTAACAAAAAAATTGCTCACAAGATAACGATAACTTGCCTTGAATGACGTTCCTCGAGGGATCAATCTTCTCTAGAGCTGGAATACTGAAGGCAGCAGTCTTGCCAGTTCCATTCTTGGCACGAGCAAGGATGTCTCTTCCCGTCAAAGCAATCGGTATACTCTCCTCCTGAATAGGGGATGGCCTCTCAAACCCTCTCTCGTAGATTCCCATTAGAAGCTCCCTCTTCAAGAAATAGTCCTCGAACTCGTTCCCTTTCGTCGCCGTGACATCCTGTAACGCAGCATGTGGGAAACACGTCAATTTAATTACTCAATTTTAGCAGAAAAAACGGAGATCCATGTCTTCAAAAACTGAGGATATACCTCGGTTTTGAACCTTGTATCGGATGGAGGAAGCTTTAGCTGTGACTTCCAATCTTGATCACTGCAATATTGAAATAAAAACATGGCGTTAAAAGTACGCTTGGAAAAAGCCAAGTTCAAGACAGAAAAAGTCGACCGTAAGGACATGCCTGGATTGGCCGGTTTGGCTTGGTTGGCTAGGCTGGCTTGCTTGGTTCGGAGCGCCAAAGCCTTGAACTTGCGGCGGAGGAAGCAGTGGTTGACCAGGCGCCTGCACTTGGCCTAACTGAGATGACTGCACGAGAGCAGCTGGTTGGATACGAGGCTGGTTTCCGTATGCTGAAGGAGCAGCTATCCGTTGATTTGTTTGACCCGAATGTGAACCCACGGCAGCCATATCGTGCTAGCGAAGAACAAGACTCGATCTAATTTTACTTCCTCGGTGATGCACTCAACTATAACCCACCGTGCCCACTCCCAGCAAGCACCAGGGTCAGATCTGTGATCAAATATGCGAAGAGATGGACAATCAACTACGCCGAAACAAGCGCGACAGGTCCTTCCTCCCTAAGATAGCCGCAGGTAAGTACCTTTACGTCTATGTAAGTCACGCGGAACTACCTCCATATGCCATGTGAAAACCTAGAAGCTAGATGCACATTACAGGTCTAATGGCAGCAGCAATGTCCCCTGGAACAACAAATCCTTCCGAGGTTCCAACTTCCACAGCAACCCCCAAGACACACGCAACACAACCCTTGCTGGTTTTCCTACCTGAGCCCTGAGGGTCCGGCGAAAGGGGGTTGGGTTCGGTTCGGTTCGGATGGTCGCGATGATGGTGATGCTCCCCGTAGCTTGCGTTGTATGCACCCCATCTGACAGTATGGATAAGTGCCAGTTATTACTATAACGAGTGCCGGGTCGCACGTCAGCTCAGGCTACGTTGACATAGAAATGACTACATGTAAAATGCATTACTTACGCCACTAAATACAATCTATATGTGCAATATGTGCATAAAGAGGTTTCCAGTTCTGGTCACCAAATACAATTTATGCCATGTGAAACCTATGAGAACAGCACCATCAGCCACCTTGGTACGGTAATAATCAATGTGGATACATGCCATGTAGTTTTTATGCAAACAGCAATTATCCAAGGAACTCCCGAGGATCAGTGATGTGACCAGTGAGGGCTGACGCTGCAGCAGTGTATGGCGAAGCCAGATAAATCTGAGCCTCCTTGTGACCCATGCGGCCCGGGAAGTTGCGGTTGGTGGTGGAGACACACACCTGGCAAAACCAAACATGAAAGAAATCAACTCAAATGTCCGCTCAAAACACTATACTACAACTCCGACGACACAGGACATATCTTAGCAAATCCATGCAGCATGCATCCATACCTGGGGCTCGTTCATGCGGGCATATGTATCCCTGGGCCCACCCAGGCACGCAGCACAGGAGGGGGCAGCAGGCGTGTCACAGCCCGCCTCCTCAAAGATCTGCGCCATGGTCTTGCCGTCCGCCCCGGGGACAGGCAGGGTGTAGATGTCCATCCACACCTGTCGGCCACGTGGGGCGAGCAACGGGCATTGGGCAAGGGGGAAGGGGCACGGGCCACGGAGGGGGGGGGGGGAGACCAAGGGGTACGGGGTAAGGGGAACATGGAAAGGGGAAGCAGGGATTAGTGGTTACATGGGTGGTGAGAAGAATGACAGAGAGAATAAAGGTGGGAAGAAGAAGGTGAAAGCAGGAATAAGACAAAACAGTGGCAGCTGCAGGAAGCTGAGGAAGATGTGATGCAGAGAAAATAATAGATTGATAGCTGTGCTGAGGCCCATGGGAAAAGCTGTTGGCATGTGAGGACTGCTGGCATGCGATGTGAGCACTACTGATGAATGCACCTTCTGAGTGGCAGGCACCAGGAAGGTCGGCACCACCACCTTCTTGCCCTGCAACAACCGTGCACACACAAGCACACACACACACATAGAAGCAACAACATGCATTCAGTGAGACAGCCAGAATGCAAGGGAAAAGAATACACGCACAGCTAGGGCGGGTCCATTTTCAGATGGCTGCTTGCGAGCTACTGAATATCAGATGCCTATCTGTAACTGACTGGCGACAGGCAGGTGCACTGACCGCAGCATGGAAGAGCTTGGCAGCAGCGAGGAAGTCCTCGGTCTTGCCGCCCGTGCACGAGCCGATGTACGAGCGGTCCACCTTCTTGTCCCGACACTCCAGCGCAGTTGCTCGGTTGTCAGGCGAGTGTGGCTGAGGGTGGGAAGGTGGAAGGTTGGGGTAGAGGTTGGGGAACGGAGGGACAATCATGAGTCAAGGCACGGGCCGATGTACGAGCGGTCCACCTTCTTGTCCCAACACTCCAGGGCCGTTGCTCGGTTGTCCGGTGAGTGCGGCTGCAGGGGGAGTGAGGCGAGAGAGCAGATGAGTGGGGGGAGGTGGAGGGTTCGAGCAGAGATTGTGTGGGGGAGCGAATGAAGAGGACTGACCACCAAGTGTGGCTGATAGTCGAGGAAGTAGACAAGAAATGAGGAATGACAGAGGAGGGGGGCGCGGGGGAGGTGGGGTAAGGGCTTAAGTTGGGGGGATGGAGTGATCGATGACGAATAGTCAGGTGAGTAAGAGAGACTGCTCAAAAGGGTGGGAGTGGGAGGCGGATAGAAGTACAGTGCCCGTACAAGCAGACTGGGGGAGCAAGACAAGATTGGCATGGTGGATTAATGTGAAGAGAGGATGGAGAGAGGCGGGAACTCACATGAGCAATCACAGGGCAGCTCACCTTAGCAACGACAGGGTCAAGCTTTGAGACGTCAAACCGATACTCCTCATAGAAGCTGCAGGCGGGGTGAATGAGAACACAGTAACAAGGAGAAGGAAGAGTAAGCAATAGGCAACAATTCGAAGTGGTGGAAGGGTCTGGAAACGGGTACTACCAGAGAGACGGGTCCGCAGAGATATAAGCAGAGAGTGAGAGCAGAAGAGGGGAGGATGTGTGGAGGGATAAAACAGGCAGCTCACCTGGCGTTGCCATCGCTGTATACGGGCTCATGCGTCAACTGGGTCTTGCCCTGCAGCCAGCAGGGAGCATTCACAGGTGCAGACGGCAGGCACGGGCAGCAGGCAGCAGGCAACAGGCACAGGCAGCAGGCACATACAACAGAGAGTAGTAGCGCACAGGACATGTGAGACAGCTGGCAGAGGCTACAGGCATTGCAGAAGGTCAGATCAGAGCAGAGCTGAAAAGAGCAGAAGATGCGAGAGGGCAAGGAGCAGATAGGAGGAGAGGCCACAAGGAGCAGGGGCGTACATCGAGGTAGGCGAAGGTGGTCTTGTCTGCCGCCACCACCCCGTTCTTGCCTCCTCCCTCAATGACCATGTTGCACAGCGTCATGCGATCCTCCATCTGCAAGGAGGGGGAGAGGGGCAGGCAGGAAGGGAAAATGGAAAGGGGAAGTCAGGGTACAAGAGGGGGGCTGGGTGGTGGTTTGAGAGGAAATTGATCGACAGGGGGGGTGTTTTCAATTGAGCTGAAAATAAAAATCTGACAGCAGAAAAGGTGGCGAGAGGATGAGAATTGGTAAAAGAAAGGCGGTGTTGGGAGTGGGAAGGGGTAGTGAGGGGGGCGGGAGGGGGTAGTGAGGGCGGGAGGGGGTAGTGAAGGGGGTTGAGGTAAGGTGGTGAGAGGATCACTGGAAGCACTCACGGTCATGGCCTCAACAGCAGTGCCTGTGAACTCCATGGCCCGATACGTGCCCCCTGCCACTCCTATCTCACCGATAATCTGATGCATGGCATTGGGAGGTGGGGCCGGAAGGAGTAGGAGGGAGAGGGGAGAGGGGGAGTGAGGGAGGGGGAGGGAGGGAGGGGGAGAGGGACAGAGAGATGGCGGAGAAGGAGAGTGCGGAAGATGGAGGGGGGGAGAAAGAGCAGGAAGAGGAAGATGGGTTGGAAAAGGGACATTGCAATCTGACAAGTGTCACGTGGCGAGTGCAGTGCATTGCAGCAAAGAGTGCATGGTGCTAGCTAGGCTGTTGCTACTGGCATGTGACAACCCAGACGCGCAGGGCGTGTGAAAGGGAGGAGGGCAAGAGGGTGAGTTGACTGAACAAGGGAGCGAAAAGAGCACCGAGCGAAAATGAAACCAGGAAGGGAGAAAAGGGACGCAAATAGCCAAGAAAATACCCGGAGGACGAAAAATAGTGTGGAGGGGAGACGAGAGGGAAGAAGTTGACACGGGAAGTAGAGCAGCAGGAAGGTGGAGGATTCACCTGCAGGATGAGGTCCTTGGCGAGCAGATAGGGCGGCATCTCGCCGTCCAACACAAACCGGAGCGTGGCGGGCACCTGATGGGGTGGACAACCGAGGGAGGAGCGGTGCAGAGAGACGAAGGGAAACGACCAGGAAACGTGGAGGTGATAAGCGACAGGCATATGGAAGAATGGAGGGCCAAGGGATGGGCAGGATAAGCAGGCATGAGGGGCGACGCACATTCAGGGCCCACGCACATTCAGGCCCCACGCACATTCAGGCCCCACGCACATTCAGGCCCCACGCACGTTGAGCAAACGAGAATGAGAGTGCGCACCTTAAGGATAGGAGAATGAGAATGCGCACCTTGAGCAGGCACTTGCCGGTGCCGAGGATGAAGCCCGCGTCAGTGTTACCAATGCCCGTGGCGAACTGCCCAAACGCACCCGCGTTGCACGTGTGCGAGTCCGTGCCAAACAACACCTGCTCGCACGCGGTGGGGACCAAGGGGGAGCGGGGGTGGAGGGGCGGAAACAGAGCGGGGGGGAAGGGGGGACCGGGGTCGTGGGAGGGGAGGAAGAAATGCAGAAGAGATAGGACAATAGGGTCGGGAACAAACAGGGGGCACATGGATGTAACGTAAAAGACACACACGGAGAGTAGCCAAGGTAATGCCAACAGAAAAAACCGATTGCTGCCTTGTTGACCTTGTACGAAAACGTGACATCTTCTGCACCGACATTCCTTCCCATTCCCTTCCATTCACCCTTCCCTTCCCTCACGCCTTCCCCTCCCCTCCCCCACCTCCCCCTACCCTCCACCTCCCCCCGCTCCTCCTCTAACCCCCCTGCTCCTCCCACACTCCCATTTCTTCCCCCATGGGCGCACCTCGCCTGGTCGGCAGTGCCCCTCCTGAGCGAGCGCCACGTGGCAGACGCCCTTGTAGTCGGGGTTGGCCTGCAGGGGGCGAGGGCGGCAGGCACAGGGAGGATAGACAACGAACAAGGCAAGAAGAGTTCAGTGGCAGATGCATACGTAGTCCAGGTATGCACGCGCATCGGCCGCTTGATCATAATCCGGAAAAAGAAAGGGACGGCGGAGATGAAAGGAAAATGGAAAGGGGTGCAAGCACTTGATGCCCTGACTCTGTACCAAGGCGAGAATGCACCAACGTTCCCTGCACCGAGGCACCGCGGAGTAAGCACCTGGAGGTGAAATATGCACCAGGAAGGGCGCACCTGGAAGTTGGAGCGGTCGGTGATGTCATAAAAGTACTTGATGTCCTGCTCCTGCACAGCAAGTAGAGTACCGATTTCAGTGCACGTACCGTCTCCACCTTCAACCACCAGCTTACCTGGAAGTTGCTGCGGTCGGTGATGTCATAGAAGTACTTGATGCCCTGCTCCTGCACGAAGTCCCTGAGAATGTCCACGTTGCGGTTCGCGCGCTCGTCCGCCGTGAAGATGTAATGATCCGGGATGATCACGATCTTCTCGCGGTCCCACACCTGCGCGGAGAAAGATGTGGGAAGGAGGGAACGAAAGGCGGGAAGCGGAAGCGCAGGCGGGAAGCGGGGAACTTGAGCTGTGGTTGGCGCGTTCGTCCGCTTGAGACAAGGAGGGAACTGTAAGCGGGGAGGAGGGACTGGGGGGCGGGGAAAGGGGAGGAAAGGCCGAGGAGAAGAGAGAGGATGCGAGGGCGAAAAAGTAGAACCCTCTGCTGTACTTGATTCGCCAGCCGTACCTTGGCGTCGGCGCCGAACTCCTTTTTGAAGATGCCGATGGTGCCGGGGCCGCACACGTCGTGCGTCATGAGCACGTCCGTGTTCACCCACACGTTCTCGCCCGGCGCCACGCGCGCCCTCTCCGCCGCGCGCGCCAGGATCTTCTCCGTCATCGTCATGGGGGACTTCACCTGCCGGCGGAAGGCGGAGGGGGTTGGGGGGAATGGGGGGCCGGAGGGGTGGGGGAGCGGAAGCGGAAAAGGGGGGAGCATGAGAATAAGCGAACGGGGTACTGATGGACGACTTCGCTGGCGAGAATCCGAAGGCGAGAGAACATTCTCCGTCGTCTTCATGGGCGATTCACGTGGAACCGAGGAGGGGAGTAAGCGAAAGGTGTGACGAGTGGGAGCGACGAAAGGACGCTTGTGCAAGAACACACTCCCCCGCGCGGGGGTAGCTTCCCCCGGCGAGCGTGGGGGGGAACGAACGGATCAAAGCACATGCTACAAGCAGATCACATTGAAGCACTTCAGTTACCCGGTGAATCAGTGCGGATGACTGCTAAGGAGGCGGAACGTGAACGGGACAGAATCGCAAGAGCTTGATACCAAAGTGACAATCGGACGTGTTCGGCGGTCGGTCGTCAGCGTTCAGCTTACCGCGCCGGTAGAAGCGGGGGTGTTCTGCTTGCTGGGAGCAGGGGGCACTGCGACGGCACGGATCGCAACGGGCATCCGACTGGCGACGGCTGGCGACGCCGCGGTAAGGAGTCGCGACGACGACACGCCTCCTGCGAAAGTCGTGGAGGAGGAACCATGGTGCACCGCCGCGCCCTGACAGAAAGGACGGAACGAGATGAAGCACAACGGCCGTGAGAACCATGGCGGAAATGTTAACGAATTTGACATGCGCTGTGCGAAGATAAAGGTGCAAACTTTAACGTCAACAAAATAAAAATCAAGGAAAAATACCGTCGTCAATTCCAGTACACGGCTGAGATCAGGACCGATAAGCATTGGTCGGTAAAATAAAAACGATATATTAAAGGCCAAGACACTACACGGAGCTCTTGAATGGGAAAATCGGCCACAGAAAGGTGCTTAGTCTTACGGGTGCACGGAGGGCTGTCGCTGGCACTAAAGCAGCCATGATGACCAGTCCACGCTAACGATATTCGACAATCGCGGACCAGAGAGTCAGCACTTCAGAAAGTGAAATATAGGCAGACGAGGCTGCCGGCGAGGTATGGTGGACTAAGAATGCAGCTGCCTTGTCTTCTAGACCCCACCACAGCCTAAGTTTCAGGAAAGGTTTCTTGAGAGGCGGAATCTATAAGGCAAGGCAAAAATGAGACAACCTTTGCTGGTCAGAGGGACTGATATTCAGTGGTCATCAGTCAAACAAAGCACGATGGGAAGCGTTTGGCATGTTTTATAGACGGCGAAATACGGTTGAGGGAGAACCTGATGAAACCTGAACACGCTGGAGCTGCTGCGACTGTCCAATCCGAGCCATGCCACTCTTGCGTCCACCTGGAAAAGCTCACGCCAACAGATCTCGAGGGCCTCGGGAGTGTCGCAAATGCACGCAACCTTGGCGAAAATGAGACAAGTGCTGTGCTCCACCTCTCGTCAACAATGTGACTGTCGCGAGCCTGGGTTTTGCGACTTTCCGTGACGGGGTTTCTGCGTAGAGTTGAGAGAGGTGGCGGGCTTCTATTCGAGAAAATTTTGAGGAGTTTGGTTGGAGGAAGTGGATCTGGCTGCGAAAGCTGCGAAAGGGGAGATGGACTCCTGAGCCCCGGATATTCTGTGCAGGTTGCGACGTTACCAGGTCCTGCCCAATGCTGCAGGTTCGCGACATTTCTTGGCTGTCGTAAACCAGTGAAGCATTTACACTTCGCTAGAATTTAGCACCAAGAGACAAGCTAACACAGACAAAAGAAAACAGACAAGCCCACAACTTAGTCATACAGAATTCCTTAGATCAACAGATGGCCTAGGACAACAATTATGGCGAAGAAATTGTCAGGCATTTTGAAGAAAGCCGGTTCGAAGGGGGAAACGGCGAAAAGAATGGACGAACCGAGTGTAGCGGAAAGACTCCCTAGTCAGGAGGAAGAGGATGTAGAAGATGAAGAAGAGTCGTCAGACGCTGATGAGGAAGAAATAGATTCCGACGACGAGAGCGAAAGCGGAGATGAGGAGATTGAGGAGGAAGGGGAAGGCAAGGAAGATGCAACGGAAGAAGAAGGGGAGGTGGGAGAGGATGAGGAGGATGGAGACGACAGTGATGACGAGGAGGAAGCAGACGAGAGAGAAGAAAACGAGGGCTTTAGTATACTAGGTCCTGAGAAGCCGTCTAAGAGTGTACCTGCTGTTCCAACTCCCGGGATTCACCCTAGTTCAGCGCCCGCGTTAAACCCGGTCAGAAGCTTCGACGAAATGGGGCTGGATCCGCGTCTGCTGCGCGGGCTGGTGAAGCGGCGTCTGCTGAAGCCGACTCCCGTGCAACAGTACTGCGTGCCGCTCGCCATGGTGCGTGCCTCGCGGCGTTAACTATTCTAGTACCTCGCAGAGACCCTGAACCTTCCCAAAACCCCTTGCGACCTTCTCCCTCCTCACCATCACGACCGACAGGAGGGGCGCGACGTGGTGGCGATGGCGCACACGGGGTCAGGCAAGACTCTCGCGTACCTGCTGCCGCTGCTGCACCGCGTGCTCGCTGACAAGGACTCCGCGCCCGCCGCTGCTGGCGCAGGGGGGACCTGCCCGCGCGCAGTGGTGCTAGTGCCCACGCGGGAGCTCTGCCAGCAGGTGCGCGGGGAGGGACGCACAGGGAGAAGGAGAGCAAGAGTTTGTTGGGAAGGAGAGGGATATGCAGAATCGGGCTCGAGAGGATGCGTGAGCCTGAAAACGAGTCTGCTCTTACCGAGTCACCCACTGCTCTGTTCCCGCATGATACAGGTGGCAGACGAGGTGACAGCCATGGCGCAGTACTGTGGGGGTGCGATCTCCGTGCAGCGCCTCACCACCGGCATGAACAACAGCGCCATGGTCAGTCACTAGGTCCTTCCTCCTGTCACCCAAGGTTTGGGTTTGGGGACCCAAGGTTTGGGTTTGGGGACCCAAGGTTTCAAGTGTAAAAAACCTGGTCGAGTTCCCAGCCCTTGTCTGGCTGGCTAGCACATCTCCTCCATCGCCCCGCATGCATGCCGCTCCCACGGGCTGGTCGAGTTACCTCTTTCTTCGTCACCCCCTCCCTGCAGCGAGCGGCCATGGACAGGCGGCCAGACGTGGTGGTGGCGACGCCAGCGCGCATGGCAGCATGTGTGGCGGAGGGGGTGCTGGCGGCGTCCGCGCTCAAGACACACCTGGCTGTCATGGTGCTGGACGAGGTGAGGGGAAGGGGGTGCATGGGTTAAGGGAGGAGAGAGAGGGGGGTGAGGGCGTGCTGGCGCCCTTGGCTCTCAAGACACACCTGGCTGTCATGGTGCTGGACGAGGTGAGGGAGTAAGGCGGGGGGGGGGGGGGCAGAACAGAGTGCTGTTGTTGCAGGGGAGGGGACAGATGGTGTGGGTGGGTGGCGTGTGTGGCGGAGGGGATGCTGGCGCCCTTGGTGCTCAAGACACACGTCGCTGTCATGGTGCTGGACGAGGTGAGACCGTGAGGGGGAGGGGAGGAGGGGGTGGGAATGCACGGGGCAATCGAGTGCTACACGTGTGTGGGGGGGGGGACGAGGGAATGCACTGCGTGCTGTCATGCATGCTGCCGTTTGTGCCCCATGGCATGTCCGGCCCTTGACAGTTGCCACGCCTGAGCACCCTACCTCGCAGCTCAACACTTCCACACGTCATCCCTCTCTCCCGTTGCATTTGTGCCATGCCAACAGGCGGACGTGCTGCTATCACACGGGTACTACAGCGAGGTGCAGGCCATAGCGCGCCACGTGCCAGTCAGCTGTCAATGCCTCCTACTCACCGCCACCTTCAGGTCAGCTCCCCTCCCTTCCAAGCCATTTTTGGAGAACAAAGAGAAGCAAACAAGCAAACGGCTCACTCTGCTTGGTCTAACCCGCGCCCCTCCATCCCCCCATTATCCCCCCCCACTTCCCACACCAGTGACGACATAGAGCGATTACAGAAGCTGGTACTGCACAATCCAGTGGTTGTACGGCTAGGGGACAGCTCAGGCCTCCTTGAGGATGCCCAGGGGGGTGCAGGGGGTGCTGGGGGTGTGGTTTTGGGGAAGGGAGTGGGCGTAGGACAGACAGCAGCAGAGGCAGCTGCAGCAGGAGAGGCAGCAGAAGCAGGCGCAGGAGGTCAGGGTAACCAGAACCAGTCTCTCCTGCCGCCCAATATCCGCCAGTTTGCCGTCCGCTGCCAGGAAAAGGACAAGCTACTCCACCTGCTTGCGCTGATTCGCCTTCAGCTGCTGCAGAAAAAGGTTCTCATTTTCACCTCCACTGTCGAAGCCGGTTTCCGGGTGAAACTTTTCCTCGAGCAGTTTGGCATCCGGGCAGCCGTGCTAAATTCCGAGCTGCCCGTCGCGTCGCGGCTGCACATTCTGCACGATTTCAACGCCGGGAAGTTTTTCTTCCTCATTGCCACGGACGACGACAATGGGGGTCTCAATGCTAAAGATAACGGGAAGCAGGGGAATTCTGGCCGGGATGCTAAGCGGCGTAGAGTAAGGATAGCAGAGGGAGGGGAGGCAGGAGAAGAGGAGGTCGAGAGGGATACGGGGGAGTACGGAGTGGTGAGGGGGATAGACTTCAAGAATGTGAGGACGGTGATTAACTACAGTGTGCCGAACCAGCTGGCTCCGTACGTGCATCGAGTGGGGAGGACCGGCCGAGCCAGCAGCGTTGGCATGTCAATAACTCTGGTACGGCAATTCTTCCATCTCACGTTTGCCACGGCTTTCGGTCCCTCGTTTTTTCAACCCTCGTTTGTGGAACACAGACATGCCGCACTCTCAATCCCTTGCTCGCTGATTGCTGTTCCCCGCCCAAATCGGTGCGTGCCAGGTGTCCCCAAAAGAGGTTCCGCTATTGGAGGCTCTGGACAGGAAGATTTCCCAGTCAATGGCATGTGCGACCAAGGGTGGGGGTGGTGGAGAGAGCAACAAGGGCGGCACACATGATGGGAGCGCGCAAGGAAGTGAAGGGGTGAAGGGGAAGAGTGGGAGTGGGAGCAGCAGGAAAAGAGCAAGGGAAGGAGAGGACGAGGAGGGGGGGGAGAGTGAGGAGGAGGGGGAAGTAGAGGAAGAGGAGGAAGAGGGTGAGGAGGAGGGGACAGATGAGGAGGAGGAGGAATTGGAGGAGTCAGAGGAAGAAGAGGAGTCAGATGAGTCAGATGAGTCAGGAGAAGAAGAGTCAGACGAAGAGGAAGAGGAGGAGGGACCAGCAAAGCCGAAGCCATACGAGTGCAAGGCAATCGTTGCGTACCCGTACCTGCCCAAGGAGGGTGTGGAGGCACTGAGGTACCGCGGGGAGGATGTGGCGGGGAAGATCACGCGCGTGGCCATCCGAGAGGCGAGAGCCAAGGAGCTGCGATGGGAGATTCTCAACTCGGAGAAGCTTAAAGACCACTTCGACCTCAACCCCAACGACCGAGGTGGGTGTCTATCTGTCCGTTGCTGGTCCTCCTGATTCTACCTTGCTCAATCCCAACAACCCAAATCCAGTGACCAAGGTGCGGGTGACATTCACACATGCACACACCAAGGTGCTTGCCAAGGTTTCTTTGACTCTACGTCTCTTCTTCACATGCCATGCCACAACCCCCCACTTCTTTAACTCCCTGCTTGCTCCTTTTCACTCCCTGGTTCCTCCATTGCCCCTCACCAGACCTCCTGAAGCACGACAAAGTGTTGGCCAAGGTTGCCCCCTCATTTCACTCTCACATACCTGCACACCCTCACATACTTGCACACCCTCACATACTTGCACACCCTCACATACTTGCACACCCTCGCCTTCTTTCACCCCATTGTTCCTCCAATACCCCCCACCAGACCTCCTGAAGCACGACAAAGTGCTGGCCAAGGTTGCCCCCTCCCCGCACCTCAAGGTCCTCCCAACGTACCTCCGTGCCGAAGCTGTCACGGAGGCTCGGCGCAAGTTCCTAACCGAGCTGCCTCCTGCAGAGCAAGACAGCCGGGATGGGAGGAAAGGGGGGAGTGGAGGGAGAGGAGGGGGGTTCAACAGAGGTCACAGGGGGAGGAGTGGGGGACGGGGGGGGGGAGGAGGGGGGAGAGGACGAGGGGGACGGGGAGGCAGGGGCAGATCGAATGATCCGTTGAAAACGTTCAGTGCCAAGTAGCACGCATGCATTATTTGAGAAGTCTAAAAAAAACAGAACTGGAGGCAGGGGCAGATCAAACGATTTGTTGATAACGTTCAGCCAAGTAGCATGCATGCATGCACTTGGTGGTGTACTCAATCACGTTTCTAGCTGCCTCAAGTGGTGTACGCATGTACACACGTGGTGTTTGTATGAGTTGGGCGTGCGCGTTGTGGATACCGGAACAGCCTTACCTGTGCAACCGCCAATTGACTCACAGCAAATGCAACCAGCATTGCAACCATCCATGAGAAAGGAATGGAAGATAGAGTGAGAAAGAAGATCACCATCAGCAGAGGAGAATCATCCACCACCATGCTGGTTTTGCATTTGCTTTACCGCTCGCCTGCACTGCACCTCCACTGCTCCACTCCTCTCCTCACCAGGAGGTTGCCATCACCAAGTCCTGTGCTGCTTTGCTCGCCTGTACCTCTGCTGCTCCACTCCTTTCCTCACCAAGAGGATCACCATCACCCTGCACAGGTTTTTAACTACAGCTTCCTCTGCGTGCATCGTCTTCTGCACCCTCTCCTCGTCTGCACCCTATCCTAAAAGTTTAAGACAAATAGCTTTACAACATACAGGTAAGTTGACCAGACCATCTTCGACCTACATTCTACATCCATGCCATATACCTTAAGAGAGCATGAGTCACAAGTTTCCTTTCGCCTCGTCACAACCACAAGCATCATGATCCTCCCTCCTGTCTCCACATCAAAACCACAAGTTCTCGTTCCTTCTGTGTTCCTTCTCACCGCAAAATAAACTTTTTGTGCCTAACTGTTCACTTTCCTCTTCTGCATGCAGGGACAGGCGCTGCCCTGTAGTCAGAGTGGGGTTAGCGTACCTGTAGTTAGGCGCTGCCCTGTAGTCAGAGTGGGGTTAGCGTACCTGTAGTTAGGCGCTGCCCTGTAGTCAGAGTGGGGTTAGCGTACCTGTAGTTAGGCGCTGCCCTGTAGTCAGAGTGGGGTTAGCGTACCTGTAGTTAGGCGCTGCCCTGTAGTCAGAGTGGGGTTAGCATGCCTGTAGTTTGGCGCTGCCCTGTAGTCAGAGTGGGGTTAGCGTACCTGTAGTTAGGCGCTGCCCTGTAGTCAGCGTGTGGATGGGTGGTGTGGGTGCGAGGGTGGGTGGGTGGGTGGGTGGGTGGACGGATCAGCAGGAGTGACGAACGGGCCAGGGAGAGCAGGGGGAGGGGAAGGGTGGGGAGAGGACAGGGGGGGGTGGATGGGAGGGGAAGAGGGAGGGAGGGAGGGGGGGCAGTTGTTTCCCGTCAGCAAGAGTTTGACCTAAGCAGAGTAATCTACTTGGAAGTCATTCTACGTCTTGATTCTTGACTCTTCAGCCTTCATTCTTCAGTCTCTGAGTATCCTCGCCTTCGACTAGTGTAGCTGCCGCAGAGTTGTCCTGCGAGCGTAAGGCAGCAAGGCAGCGAGGAGTGAGTTAGAAGGGCAGAGACTGAAGAGTGGATGGGATGGGTGGAGGGAAAGGAGGCGCAGGAAGGGGAGTGAAAGAGGCAGCAAGAGGGAGTGAGTGGGCAAACGCATGGCACTATCAGACAGCAACAGTATAAAGCAATGAGGAATGACTGCAGGCACGCGAAGTGATGGGCAAACCTCAGGGTTACATCCGCCATTGCTGTGCTGCTGTTGGCGTGTTGCACTTGGAGTATATCGATGGGATTCTTGGCAGGACCATCCACAGCGGAACGAGTGGCACCGCATGCGCCATCGCCATCAGCAGAACCAATGCCATCACCAGAAGCACCAATGCTACCATCAGCAGCACCTGCACACTCCCACAGCCACTGAATGGGTGGTGCTGGGTCAAGATGGGTAGAGACAGGGTAAGTGCAGAGAAACAGGCACGTGAGACAGGGACAAAGAGTGATTGACAAAACAATGAATCGACAGCAATGAGGGTAAGGGGGGCTATGGGACAGCAAGGATGAATGCGAGAGTGGGGAGTTGAGAATGCAAACCGGTGGATCTATGGGCTAACCTTGAGGGGAGTTTCGCTCTTGAAGTGTCAGTTTAAGTGCTGCTCACCAGCAGCACAAACAGCATCAACAGCAGCACCCACCCACGCCATTTCTGATGCTGGGATGGGATGGGCAGAGAGAGGTGAGGTGAGGGGAGAGGTGAAAGAGGCATGGAGAGTACGTGAGCCAACAAACGCAGGGCAGAAAGCGAGAGCAAGAGTTTTGGGGCATATAATGTTAAATGCAGGAATGCGGAACCGGCAGTCACGACTCACCTCTTACGCTGCCTGTTACACGCAGGAGGCACACACACCGCTGTGACAGCCTGCCGTGCGTCATCCCAGCGCCCTCCCTCCTTGCAGCAAGTTGCCATAGCACAGGACGAGAGGGGAGGAGCAAAGGACAGCAAGAGGACCGAGCGGGGGGAAGGAACCCAAGCATTCAGTAGAAGCAAGAAAGTAGTGAAAGGCATGCAAGGAGGCAAAGATAACATGAACTAACGAGTAACGGAAACTAAGACAACATAAAAAGCGGGTGGCACTGTGACGCTGTGAATGGGGAGATGGTAGCACACAGCACTAGGGCGCCGAGCTAGCAGGCAAATAAGGAAGGGACGCAGCATGATTATGAATGCATTCTAATCCAACCCCCTATGACTCTATATGAGCTCAAGCCGCCCCAGTGCCATGCGCTACCATCGCCAAACGCCGCTCATCTCTCACTCAACTTTTGATCGCTCCCATTCGAAAATGGGCTCATATGTTTAGAGCACGTAGTGACGGAAGAATGTGGTACAAAAGTGGGCAATGATAAACACGAAGCAGAAGCGGTAAGGATGGCAAGGGCGAAGGGAGAGGGAGTGCTTGCAGGACAGTGGCGTCAGGCTTCCAGGAGGCTCGCACACCGCTGTGACTGCCTGCCGTGCGTCATCCCACCGCCCTCCCTCCCCGCACCACGCTGCCATAGCACCAGACGAGATGGGAAGGAGAGCAAGAAAACAGAGCAGGGGAAAGGAACCCAAGTAGTCAGTAGAAGCATGAAAGAAAGAAGTGAAATGCATGCAAGTAGGCAGAGATATCAAGAACGATGAGTAGAGGAAACGAAAGTTGAAGATAAAAAGCACGTGGCACTGTGACGCTGTGAAAGGGGAGGCGATGGTAGCACACAGCACTAGGGCGCCGAGCTAGCAGGCTTATAAGGAAGGGACGCAGCATGATTATGAATGCATTCTACTCTAACCCCCTACGACTCTAGTGTGAGTTCAAGCCGCCCCAGTGCCATGCGCTACCATCGCCAAACGCCGCTCATCTCTCACTCAACTTTTGATCGCTCCCATTCGAAAATGGGCTCATTTGTTTCGAGCACGCGGTGACGGAAGAATGCCGTGCAAAAGGTGGGCAATGATACACATGAAGCAGAAGCGGTAAGGATGGCAAGAAAGATATCCATCACGCGAGATGGCGACGTCTTGCTACTCGAGGTCAGAGAGACTCATCGCTACTAGCGATAAATCATTCGGCGCTGCCTTTGCCGTGTGAAACAGCTGTCGACGGCAGGACATATCACCAAATCGAAACGTTCTCGCTGCTGGGAGAGCGGATTCGCCTCGGTACTCGAAGGAGCGTATGGAGACTGGGAGAAGATTTATGATGCATTTCGGCAAACCCCCTCTGTTCCGCGGTCGTCAGATGTCCAGAATACTGGAAAAGAAATCAGAACTGCAGTCAAGAGAGTAATTGCTGGATGACGGAAATGAAACTGCTCCGAATGACTACAACTTCTGAGCTTAGAATGTCTCTGTCCGACTAGACCATACGCAAAGCTCGATTACTTCTTAACAAGGACTACGACTGAGGTTAACCCTGAAAGGTTACTGGAACGTGTCAGGAGGCACAGCCATGGATTGAACGATCAGTAATAACCGTCTTGACGACCTCGAGATAAACGTATATGAAGATTAACACTACTAATGAGAACCATTAAATGTTTGAAACAGATTGGCGACAGCCATGGACCACGGCTTAGCGAGCTTATCCTCGAGAACTCCATGAGTGAACTGCGGTGATGATGGTGAGAAGGAATCGCATTGAGGTGAGGTGGAAAGAATTGATTCTCAGGGAGGGAGAAAGATATCCATCAGCAAGAATCGTCGGGTTCAGTTGTGAAATTCAGGGGATTTGAGCGGATACAGTGAAGAAGAAATCACACAAACGAAGTTTCATTTTCCCCGCTCAGGTGGTGGATGCCGCCGCACCGTCGGCGGAATGTGGCAGTTTCGTGACAGCATTGACGATGGGGATACCCATTTCGTTAGAGGAATTTCGAATTGAGTTTTGCGAGAAAATCCTCGGGATATCCGCAGCACTGCGGTCCCGCTGCTTATCGTTTGCGCGGGAATTGTGTCAGAAACGCATACCTCTGACACAATGGCAATTATGTGATGCACGCGTCATTGCCTCATGACAACAAGATAAGGGAAAATATTTCATAGGTAACTTAAATGGGGCACTATAACGCGTACGGTAACTATTACATTAAATTTTAAGGCGTTTGGTAACTCGTTTCACGCATTTGGTAACTATACACTGCCAAGCAATCACGCGAATGGTAACTAGAAGAAACGCTCACTCAGAATGACCCTGATTAAGGTTTTTCCCGCTTGCGCCAGACTGAATCGACGAATCCTGACCTACCAATTTCTGACACACTTTCTAAAATCGAGAGATTGACACAAAAATATAGAACTATTTCAGACGGCAAGCGATTCTGAGAACATCAACCATAAACACCTTGCGACAAGGCGTTTAGGGCTTGTTTACAATATGGGCAAGTATTTAAAATTTAGACGTTCAGTATCACAAATATCTTCCAGTTTTTTTGCCACCTGCTTTAGCCTTGTCGCAAGGTGTTTAGGGTTGATTCTTTCAGAATCGCATGCCATCCGAAAGAGTTCTATATTTTTGCCCCACGGCCACAACCAAAGAACCAAACATTAAGGTCC